AGTTTGGCAATTTACTAGTCCGAATACATTTTTCACTTGTCCAAAAAAATCGATCGGCATCGTATTTTACATTTTCCCACGGTTTTTACGGTAAGATTTTACTGCATCACACATAGGGATGGGTATCGTTTGGATTTGAACGATTCCGGTTCTGCTTTTCGATTCCGGTTCTTTTCGGTTCTCGATTCTGGTTCGTTGAGAGGGTAAAAATAAGTCCCATGACAAACTGGGAGAAAAATATATTTATGAAAACATTAAGTCAAATCTGTATTCCTATTTAAAAATCACTTCATACTGTTTAATTTCTTACGGTTATTGAATACAATTATATAAAAATAATTGTTTAGTTAGTTCTAAGTGGTGCCGTTTGAGAATGTACAATTGGCCCAGTCTCCTCTGATGTTACACTGCAACCAGTGTCCAACACCAACCACACAGTCTGTGTGTCCAACACATGTCCTGCAATAAACATGCTGCAGCTGCCCAGCTTCCCACTGTTTGTAAAAGTAAATAAATAGTATTTTCATTTCAATAATGTACTTTCTATACCCTGCTTCATAAACAATACTGACATTCCTGTGCTCCTCCGAGTCTGGGGGTCCGGGGATGTGAGGACAGCACGAGGACACAGACAGGGAGGCTGATTTAATTCATAAAGGAAATGGCAGTCAATATTAACAATATAGGAGCTAAAACGCTTAATAACCTTCATTACGTGTTAGAGAAAGAACATAAGAAAGTTTGACAAATATGAGGTTGTTTAAGTTAAACGGGCAGCGAATCAGCTGATACGGCAACACGATACGGAGCATATTTTCAGGACCCCCTTGAAAACGAGATGGTGCATCTCAAGGGGTTTATCCCAATAAATACATTTCTATATATATAGGGAGAGAGAGCTGCGGTCCGTGGGGCTCGGCCTCCGCCTCCTGTCCTCACAACTCTTATTAATCCCGGTACCGGACAATTGTTATTAACTTATTTGTTCTTACTCAGAACCGAGTTTTGCTTCCCAAGCCTGCCAATGTGCTACACGTACCGCCCAAGCCCCCAGGAAGTGCGCCGGACTCAGATGAAAATATTCGTGCTGGCCAAACGGCGGTACTACACTTCCTTTTGGTTGCCAGGCCCGGAAACACTTTTTCCCATTGACTTACATGGGGAAAGAGTGGTCTGTAAATCGTTGGATAATTTTTTTTAGACTAAATAAACTACCCAGTATGAACACTTGTATAGCCCTTATTAAAAACATTTGTTCCTCAAGTTGTAAAAATGCGCTAATAACGTTATTCTGTGAGTTATTTCCCTCTGCATTATGAACGCGCATCTAACCCACGGGACCGCGCCGCCCGGCACGTTCATGTTACGTGTTCAGCACTACATGCGTTTATCTTTACCCATGGATGCACAATAAGAACGGACCCATATCGCCTTACTGCCAGCCCACGGAGCTGTAATAATGGATATATTGCACATGTTTGCTGTAATTCATCATTTGTAAAATATTATACTACATAGGCTGTATGATTAAATCTTGTACCGTAAATGTTGTATTAAATAAAGTTAATATTACCGACGTAGATGAACGTCCCCGTAGCTTCTTATTGCACTAAGAAGCTTATTGCACTGTATATATATATATACATATATATATATATATATATATATACAGTGCAATAATTATTTCATGCTAAATGAAGCTCTGTTGCTTGGATATCACTAGATCCTGTTACAGCGTAATATAAAAGTACATAACGATTGATGTGTAAATTAGCATAATTACTAGCTAACCGCTAGCTGCTAACTGCCGCCTCGTTAATATAAAATCTATCATAATAACAATCCATTACCATGCTGTCATGAACGTGCGGTGCTGTTACGTGTACGCAAATTGACGTGCTTGATGTGAACGAGCATTTTGGGGGGCATGGTTAAAGTTGCGCATGCGCTATGAGCGCACATACGGGTACTTCTCAGGCATGCCGGGTAATCTGTGACGTTTCGCTCTCTCAAAAGTTGGGCCATTTTATCATCATGCGCGAATGAGCAACTCTCATGGGAATGAATGAGGCCCCGCCTCCCACGCTGTATCCAGTTCTTATTATACATCCATGGTCCCGCCCCGCCCCCGTCTAACAGTACAGAAAGCGGCGAGATGCATTTCCTTAGGAATCGACAAGCAAAACCACAACAATGGCGGACACGGACAATTTACGAATTAGTTCTGCCTTTTGTAAGCTGAATTTATCAATAATTTGTCAATAAATAAGGGGCGAAAAACGTCACTTGTCCATCGGACAAGTCAATTTAAAGATCTACTAAGATCTACCGATATTGTAAATAACACGTCCCGGTGGGACGTGTGCTTTTTCGCACACTGCCTTTATTCACCCCACAGCCAGTAATGACAATATTACATTAAAAAAAGTATATATTGCACAAAAACAGACTCATTGTTTAAATCCGAGACTTTTGAGTTTAGAAAATTGTAAAACAGAACCATAAAATAAGCAAGTTAGCTTTTTTATTGTTTATTGGTACTGTAGTACAAAAGAAAAAAACGTTGCAGCGATTATTATTATTTTGTGTTAGTTTTATGCCCCAATCTACTGTCTAAGTTTAATACATATCATATTTATTGATTTATTCTTAATTCTTGTGTTTCAAATCAGTGATAATCAGTAGGTGCAACAATTAGATTGAATGTGAAAAGTCCTATTATTAAGAAAAACAATTATTGAAGAAGAAAAGCTTATAGAACATTTTAGAAAGTGTTCTCTACTTGCATACTGAAGTTCAATCTCTTTTGCAGGACATTTACTTGTAACCGAGTATTTTTTGTACTGTAAAGATCTACCATGTGTATTGAGTTGTGTGTGATGTTTTCCTGTAAAATGTTCTCCATGTGCCAACATGCCTGACCTACACTCATAAAGAACTGCTCGTAAATGTTCTGAGTAACACTATCATCTCATAAAAAAAGAGGCTTACAAATGAGCCAAACTCTCTGTGAACATGAACACACTGTAAATCTGGGGGAGAAGTCATAACTTATTAAAGTGAGACTGGGGGAATGTTTTTTAACATCCGGTCTGTGACAGGTCAGTAAAATGCAAAGAAAGTGTACTATTCATGTATAAAGCAAAACGCAGAGGACCTAAATATGATCCCTGTGGGACTCCTTTAATACAACATTTCAGACTTGATTTAAAAAACAGTCTGATACCCAGGCCTCTCCTCTATAGTATACTTAAGTACTATATTGACATAGTTTTACCTTACTTAAGTATTTCCATCTTAAACTAATTTAAACTTTTACTACACAACATTTCATAGGCAAAATTCAAGTTTTCTTATCATACATTTTAGACTTTTTTCATGTACATTTACCATTTTAATGTAGAAGAATATGAATTAATTTACCTTTTTTGTTCTCTTAAATTTGGAAATTCTTTCCCTTTAATTAATCCCTTCTATCAAAGAGAATATTACACAATTTCCTCGTAATTTTTCCAATTTAGTCTAAGAGAACATTTTTATTTATTTTTTTATAAATGTATTCATTAGGTTAAAAAAATGTTTTTGTTTTTGTTTCTCTTGAAGAAAACTTTATTTATTTTTTATTTCTTGTAAATGTATGACTTTATCTTCATAGAATATTTTCCACTTTAATCCGAGAATATTCATTTTTTGTCCTCTTCTCCTGCTCTCTGTACCCTCTCTCAGTAATCCGTCCATTATAGTCGGAGCAGCTCTCGGCACTGTCTGTTTCTGTGCCCTCATGAATACCAGCGCTCATGTTATTACGCAACAGAGAGAAAGCTTCAATAAGAACCCCCCCATCCCCCCCATTCATTTCTTCCTCTAATGTCTCGACCTGCTTTATTTACCACATGTAGCCTGTGCTTTATTTCCTCTCCTGTCTGTGTTCCACATGTGGGGGAGGACGCTCAGATGTGACGACTGCGGTGCACGTTAGCGGTTTAATACAAAGTACAGGCAGGATATTAAATTATTTCTCCATTAAAACGTCCGTTCTTCAATTACATTTCAGATACATTTAGAAAGATGTATTTTCTTAGCAATTTACCACTTCAATTACATTTTTCTCATAAATATAATATTTTTAAAATGGGTTTTTCTCGCAATATTACCCAATTCCCCAGCCCTCTGCTTTAACTGGTGAACTGTTTTTGATCCTTGTTTTTATCAGGGTTTTAACAGGGTGTGTAGCTAACCTGTGGCTGCAAGTCCACCTCTGACTCACGCAGAAACACACACATCTGAAAAAACACACACCCACCTTTCTTTTTAAAGACACTTTTGTTAGAATTTCTGAAGGCAGTTTAAAACCTCAGTCCTGTTTGCATCACCCTCTTCCCTCCTCACGTCCTTTGTATTATGGTTGATCTTATTTTTATATTTGAACCACGGCCGCGCCCGTCTCTCTGTCTTCAGCTTTCAGTCAGCCCGATGATGAACCCATTAATCACACGATTAATCCTTAGGTGATTAGACAATGAAAAGAAGCTGCAGCCCTAATAAACTCTCACTCCTGTATTGAAGGTTTAATTTTCTTACACTATTATATTGTTATGGGAAACAAATCAAGTTAAATATATGAGAAAACTAGTTAACATGTATTAATCATATTTGTAGATTCTAAGAGTTATATGTTTGTTTGATTGGACCATAATATATAAAGTTGTATCATATTTTTTATGTTGATATTATTCCTTGAGCTATGAAGCCTTTTGTAAAAGAATATTGATGGTTTGAATGAAAACTTTTCCCAAAGAGAACCCCTGCTATTGAATAGTATAACTCTTTTTATGATCTTTTCTATAACGTTTGTGAGTCACTTGTTAAACCTCAGATGTGTTTAGTTGTGTTTACAGTGTGACTATATTAAGCCTGAGTCTGTATCTGTTGACTGATAAGGATCCAGCTGTGTATTATTTATCGTATATATTTATAATGTAATATCTGTGGTCCCTCAGGTTTTCGGCCCTGCACCACGCCGCCCTCACAGGAACCACAGAGCTGCTGGCAGCCCTGCTGGAGGCCCAGGCCTCCGTGGATGTCAAGGACAGCAACGGTCAGTTTCACACTGAGAGAATAACAGCCATAACGATACATTAACTTTACTTTTTTATGTGTTATATACATAAATATGTTTCCCCGGTGTGTGTGTAAGGGTACTCACAAACCCTCTCTCTCCTCCGTACCCAAATCTCTAAAAACGGGGGTACAACGGAGCTGATCCAGATTTGCTGCCAATATGACGTAATGTCGGAAATGTGGGCTGGCTTTACACCCACGGCCCTATCAGAAACGTCGCTATCAGAAACAATGAGCAACGTGTTTTGGAAGTAATATGGTATTTGTTTACATTAGCAAGCATCGCTAACACTCTGAGCTAACCTCTACTGGAGAGAGATGTGTAAAAAAGCAGGAAATAAAAAGGAACTCACCTTGTGGTAAACCCGCAAGAGAAAAAGCATTTGAGCTCCATACTGTTTCAGAAATAATCCTTGATGTGGTTTGGAACATGATATGGCGTTTCATCACAGCAGCATTTAGCTGAGGGAAATTTAAATTGCGGCTGTGGTGCAATAGGGGCGACTGTGGCGCAGTGGACTAGTGCGTTGGTGTTCGGATCAGGGGCCTAATTTATAAACGGTGCAAACGCTCAAAAGATGGCGTACGCCAGTTTCTAAGCAATGTTTGCGATTTATAAAAAACAAACTTGACGGTAAAATGTACAGTCCTCCACGCACACTCTGACCCATGCACACGCGGTATGCACAAAAATGCGAGAGACGAGAAACTGCCACACCGTTGGATGAAGGAAGAAAGGAGAGAAATATGTGGAAATAATACCATAAATAAAATGTTACCTCTCATTTATCATATAAATAATTCATTTTCACAAATTGATTAAAGCCAATCTTAAAATGATTAAACAAACGCCTGTTTGAGACTCCTCAGTGCACACAAAAACATAACTTGGAGAAATAAATAAATACGGACATGTTATTGATCACCCCTTGATTATGTTCTCTTGTTAAGAAATGTATTCTCATAAATGATGCGGTAAGCAGGAGGATAGAATTACTTTAAACTGACGCCGTTTTGCTTTTCTATAGGTCGTATAGATACGAGCATGGTTTTATATACTATCATGTTTAATCGTGTTTTATGCCGTTCGCCAAGACTTGATAAGTCGCTCGTAAAACACAAGAGGTATGGAAACTAAGAACACCATATGTGGTAAATCGTACAGCTAATATAACACAACACATTAGTTTTATTTCCTTTAACTGGTGGATATAGAGTTGCTGCGGGGGGGGGGGCGGGTTGAGACGCACAGGCTGCAGTAGAGACGCTGCGCACAGCTGATCGACAGCTGGAACACAAACCACCAAATACAAAAAGATAATTCAGATCCAGTCGTCATGACTCCACTCCGGAGGGATTCCCCGATCATTTCTTAGAGTTTCTCATCAAGGGGGTGTCTCCTGTCCCCGGTACAAACACACTGCCTGAGGAAGGTTATGTGTATTTTTTTTGTCATTAACCTTTTTCGGACCACTTATTTATTTATTTTGGTGACGATCCGACCTCCATGCTGCTACTCTGGTTCAAACTGCATCCACCAAACAATATGATTTATCTCGACCTCCCCAAAAGAACCAAAATCTGACACGGTGTGAGATGTCTTTTTTAGCTGTTCTGTCCTCATTTCCTGCGATCTTCTTCATGCAGTCAGTCAAAATGAATATTAATACGGGGCGTTTCTTTGACTATTTATAGGCAAATATGGGCGTTACGTGAAGCCCGCAAAAGCTGCGCCGCATTTCGAGTTGATTATTGATTGAAATAAGAAATAACTTTTATTTAAAACAAAAAGATAATGTGACAAGCAAATGAATAGTTTACACACAAAACAATGCATTAAATACACAATTATAATTGTTCATTAATAATAATCATACGAAACATTTCTTCCCTGTTTATTTGGTAGAAATGTTTTTCTATATGAGTACCTGTTCGACCTCTGCAAAGGTGGGAGAAGTACTCAGATCTTGTATTTGAGTAAAAGTAGAAGTACACAGTATAGGAATACTGTGTTACAAGTAAAGGTCCTGCAATCAAAATGTTACTCAAGTAAAAGTACAAAAGTATTCAAAATATACTTAAAGTAAAGGGTGTCCGGTGCCTTGCTCAAGGGCACCACGGCAGGGCCCAGGAGGTGAACTGGGACCTTTCCAAGTAGCAATCCACACTCCATATTTTAAAGGTCCCATGTCATGGCCATTTCTACTGATCATAATTCCATTGTTGAGGTCTACTAGAATAGATTTACATTGTTCAATGTTCCAAAATGGCATTGGTTTCTCATACAGCATCTCTGTATAGTATGTGTATTCACTCTCTGTCCTAAACGGCTTGTTGGAGCTCCTGCCCCCCCCCTCCCTATGAGCCCACTGTGCTCTGATTGGTCAGCTCGCCCACTCTGTTCTGATGAGTCCACCACCGTTACAGCGGAACATCAGTGATTATGTGTTACAATGGCGTTTGTTAGCAACCAGAAAATGACACCAGTAATGACAAACAGATGAGAATGCTGCGTGGGGTCTGGGTGCCGTGTTGGCGGGACTTTGCGCGGCTCGCTGCTGTGAGGAGCGGACAGTGTGAGCTGGGTTACTGGTGTCATTTCCTGGTTGCAGCGAGACATCGCGAATGGACGCGGGAAGGGGGGGTGCTGAGGGGGTTGCAGCACCCCCATCTGCGAGGCTCCACTAGCAAAAGTACACGATTTACCTCTGAATTGTTGTGGAGTAGAAATGCAAAGTAACATAACATTTAAATACGCAAGTAAAGTACAAGTATCTCTAAATACAGTACTTGAATAAATGTTCTTAGTTACTTCCCGCCTTTCAACCTCTGTCAGATAGATGTGTTCCCACAAAACACTTCAGAATCAGAGATATCTAAACTCAATAAATAAAGAGTGTTTGTCCTGATCTAAAGTAACACACTGTGGTGACTCTGCAGGGATGCGTCCGCTGCATTACGCGGCCTGGCAGGGGAAGGCCGACTCGGTCCTGATGCTGCTGCGTGCCGCCGCCTCAGTGAACGGCGTCTCTCTGGATGGACACATCCCGCTGCACCTCGCCGCGCAGTACGGACACTACCAAGTGGTGAGGGAGCAATTTTGTCTTTTATTTAAGTCCTTTTGTTCCTTTTTGGCAAAGTAAATACGTGGGTTTTGTGCTACAATATATAACAAAACTTAATTAATAATGATCTTTTTACCTTATTACCTTTTAAGAAATTATATGGTTACAGGGATTATTTAACTAAATCAAATACAGAGAAATATAGTCAGTATACATAGGTAGATAGATAGATAGATAGATAGATAGATAGATAGATAGATAGGTAGATAGATAGGTAGATAGGTAGATAGATAGATAGGTAGATAGATAGGTAGATAGATAGATAGATAGATAGATAGATAGATGGATAGATAGATAGATAGGTAGATAGATAGATAGATAGATAGATAGATAGATAGATAGATAGATAGGTAGATAGATAGGTAGATAGATAGGTAGATAGATAGATAGATAGATGGATAGATAGGTAGATAGATAGATAGATAGATAGATAGATAGGTAGATAGATAGGTAGATAGATAGATAGATAGATAGATGGATAGATAGATAGATAGATAGGTAGATAGATAGATAGATAGATAGATAGATAGATAGATAGGTAGATAGATAGATAGATAGATAGATAGATAGATAGATAGATAGATGGATAGAATGATAGATGGACAGATAGATAGATAGATGGATAGATAGATAGATAGATAGGTAGATAGATAGGTAGATAGATAGATAGATAGATAGATAGGTAGATAGATAGATAGATAGATAGATAGATAGATAGATAGATAGATAGATAGATAGATAGGTAGATAGATAGATAGATAGATAGATAGATGGATAGATAGGTAAATAGATAGATAGGTAGATAGATAGATAGGTAGATAGGTAAATAGATAGATAGGTAGATAGGTAGGTAGACAGACAGACAGACAGACAGACAGACAGACACTGACTGACTCTGAGATAGTCAGTCAGTCTGAGATAGTCAGTCAGTCTGAGATAGTCAGTCAGTCTGAGATAGTCTGTAGTGAAGGAGTGTGCTCCCGCTCACGGGAGACTGCTCGCGCTGCGCTCCGCAGCAAACAGCTGTGGGGCGAGTTGAAAGTACGTTATGCTGGCCGCGGTGTCTAAATAATGCTTCCTGCCCAGCGGGCCATTTATAATGTCGAGCCCTGAGAGTCCACAGATTATATTGGTATACGTTTTCATCCCTGTGCGATCAAAACTCTCTGTTCAATAAAAGAACATTTTACCTTGAAAATCAATGCATTCTAATAGCGGGTCAATTAGACCCAGGTGGCAGTTTTAGGTATAAAAAATCTCTGGCGGTTCTAGTGTTAATATATAAACATAGTGTACTATTTACATAGCAAATGGTGTACAGCATCTTCAAATTAAAAGTAAAATATATCCTTTTTAGAGATAAACACCTTATATAATCTAGAATAAAACATTTTAGTCAAAGAAGTCCCAAACTATTTAACCAAATAATTAACTTTGTGCGCCAATAACAAAAGTGTGGGGGAACTACATAAACGAGCTGTTTTTCATTTGAAAAAAAAACAGTACTCTCCACCTTTTGTCAACATGGTTACATTTTTTCAAGTAAATATCTTGGCTTTTATTTTTCTCATAGAGGCCCCTCTTTATGTTTAATGCTTTATTGTATTGATAGTTCTGGAAATTACTGCAGTGGAAACTTTTAGCATGATATACTTCATCCCTAATTCGCCTGTTGGCACTGATTGACATGGCTGATGGCTCGTTAGTAGACGAGTAGAGTTTGGGGTGTGACCTCATTTGTGTCTGAGCAGCACAGATGTCAGGGAGGCTTTCACGAGGACATGAACCCTGCAGAGGTTTTTATTAATAATCCTGAACAGGATTAGGGTGAATGTAGGTGATGTGTATCCCCCTCCACACACACACACACACACACACACACACATGGTTGTGTGAGATTGAACTCTTTATGTTTACACAAAACATGTGATTTAATCTTTATCCAAAAATTGAGACCTTCAACTAAAATATCGCATTGATAGTTTTTGTGTTGTATCTCACATTATTGTCACACAGTATTATTTGCAGGAAAGCATGAGTAATGTTACTTTTTTTTAATTACTTGCATATTTATTTGTATTTCTGTCCTTTGTATAATGTAGTATATTTGAGGTTTTAACATGACTATACATTTAAAGTGAACATATTATGCTAATTTTCAGTTTCATATCAGTATGTAGTACCTCTACTGTGACATGTCTCCATGCTTTAATGCTCAGAAAGCTCTTTATTGTTCTCATACTGCCTGTGCTGCAGCACCTCTTTTCACCCTCTGTCTGAAACCAGAGCCCAGTCTGCTCTGATTTGTTAGCTGGCCGGCTCTGTTGTGATTGGTCAACAAGCACCTTGAGATGACGTTGTTTTTAAAGTGTGCTATATAAATGAAATGTATTATTATTATTATTATTATTATTATCATAGAAGTAAAAAAAGGACTCCAATGGAAGTGTTTCAAGCAGGGGGGGAGTGTGTGGGAGAGAAACTCCCTCTGGAGGGAACACAGGGATTTGAGCCTTTGCAGACCATTTACATGCACAAATACCTATAGAACACACTACAGGTAAAGGAACACCTAAAAGTACATAATGACCTTTTATACATCAATTGATTCATTTAATGATCTCTAAATTAATGTGCACATTAATTGAAAATTACAGATATAGATTCATATTTTCTGCAACTTTTTATAGTCCAGACTATCTGCAACAGATTTCTTTAAAGGTTAAAGAGCATCTGCCTGCTTTGATTGTCTGAGATTAGAGATTATTATATTCTGTTGTCTTTTTTTACAGCCACAGTAAACATGTAAACACAGCTCCAGATAGTGCCAGCAGTCTGCCTGAAATCCCTTTTTTTGGAGCGTAATCCAGCCTGCAAGGTTCCCCGCAGAGCGCGATAAAAACACACATCTGTGGACTCCATCCCCAGTGTGCCATGGATAGAATCGCCTGATTGGCTGAGAGGGGAGAAACATTATCCACCCCCCCTCCTTCGAGGAGCTCTGCAGGTGTTTCCTCCTGCAGCTTCAGGGTCACGCTAACAGTTTCCCCTCGCTTATTGTCTCAACGCTGAGCTAAGCTAACAGAGAGAACACAGAGAGAAAGTGAAGAAAGTCTTTTTTGGGCCTTTTTGTATGACTCCCCCTTGTTGTTTTTCGGTCATTTTAATGTCTGTTAAATCCCATAAAAACGTGTGTGTGTGTGTTTTCAGTCTGAGATGTTGCTGCAGCATCAGTCTAACCCCTGTCTGGTCAACAAAGCTAAGAAGACTCCTCTGGACCTCGCCTGTGAGTTTGGAAGAGTCCAGGTGAGAAGGTTTTTGATATTTTTGAAAATGTTTTACAGTTACTTAATATATTACAGAGTTTGGGTTATTTTGCTTCCATAGCATGTCTTCTCTCACACTGTAAAACCTGACAAGTTAATAGAACTCAAAAGTTTCTTTGAAACTGATTACATACAAATTTTTGAGTAATACTTGTACCTTAACTGAAATGTTTTAAGTTAAAGTATAATCTTATCAATTGAGTTCTATTTAGTAGTAATTTTCAAGGCACACAAACATATTGTTTGTAAGTTAAAGAAACATTATATATTAAGTTTCTTTTAACTAATAATTTGTGTTAACACTGTACATATAAAGATCAAGTGTTGTTGACTTAAAAATGTTCATATCTTTTCAACTAGCTATTTTGTTAGCACAGTACATATGAAAATCAAATATATTTAACTTGAATATTTTTATTATCTCTAAATAAAAAACTTTTCGCTGTATAAAACGCGATATGAATTAAAAACGTCAATTGATTAGTACTCAAAACTGACTGAATGTAGAGTACTTAAAACATTTTTTGAAACCGATTACATAAATATTTTCAGATAACTGTAACTCAAAATCCCTAAGTTAACATTGAGTAAACATTCAAAAGCACTTTTACACTGACAATTTAAATGCAAATCACTGTTTTATTAAGAAACAATATATATATATATATATATACACATTATAGCAAATAACTCTTTTAAATAAAAAATATACCTTAAAAACAGTGCTAGGGCCTTTTTAACCACAATAGTTTCAAAAGAAACAAACTTTGGCTCTAAAAGTTATTATGTGAAAGGCTCCTCCTCAAGTTAAAAGAGACTCTTCTATGAAATCAGTCTACCACGAGAGACACACCAGGTTCAGATGAAAGATCACTTACACATACAGGGTCTTCAAGCCTACCAAGGCATATGAAAATGAATAGGTACTGAATACATTTAACAAAACCAGCATAGACACATAATGTGCTTGTGTTGGCAAGAATTAAACACAATTTTCAGGAACAGTTCTGCGTATTAATTTAACACATAAAGACCCAATACATATAAAAGTATAAAACAACATCTACAAACAGTCCTTCAACTTGAAGCTGAACAGTAACAAATCTGTCAATGCAATACAGAACACAGATGTAAAGCAGCAGGATGTAAACAGGAGAACAGAGTGTGTGTGTGTGTGGTTTTTTTCTGAGAAAAATAATGTTGGCAGTTTGCATAGGGGCGGTACCCTTGCTCAAATCCACTGTTGTCAATAAAGACACCCCAATTTCACAAGGCGTGACCAGGACACTATGACTGCATCTTTAGTTTAAAGAACTTTAACTTTTGAACTCAGCCGAGAGCACAGCTTGCCAGGTGACTACGAACAACCAATCACAGCCGGAAGATAGCTTGCCTGTCTTCCGTAAATACAAGTCTTCGGTAAAGAAGTTGTTTATTTTAGTGTGTGTGTGTGTGTGTGTGTGTGTGATTGTTAAAGTGCAACTTTGCACGTTGGTAGTATTACACTGCCAAAAGGTCATTTTTCAGGCTCAACACCCTGGGCTTCAAATTCTTCAAGTTCCCCTCATCAAGGCCCATCAACACTTTCTGGGTGAAGTCAAAAGTGTTGGCCAAGTCTTTTGGATAGCTCAGATGCAGGGCAAAGGTCAGTGCAAAAAGCAGGATGAATGCGTCAGCCAGTGTAGGGAGTTCGATAACTCTGTTACCCTCAATGACAACAGCGATCCTCTCTGGGCAGAAGAGCGTGGTATCTGTTGACCTGGCACTGATCATGAGAAGTCCGACCGCGATGTCCTCTATGTCTGGATCATCAGACTGCTCCACCTGATGACAAGAACAGATAAATGTTACCCATTACCCCAAATTGCCTTGGCTATCTCAGAAATCTGTTTTCTGAAAAATACATCAGTGACATAACACATCAAATAACCTAATGTTTTGTGCATAATGTGGCTTTAACCCTTTAACTGCCAGACCAAGAAAAAAGCTATGGAAAAATTATTTGTTTGCATTTTTTTTTATCAAATGGGCCACAAATTAAAAAAAATGTTTTGACTGACCCCACAGTTTTGTTTTTATGAGCCTCTACCAACTGGTCGAGTTGGCCTTTTATGGTAAAAGTGCATTTTCAAGAATCATCATATACAGTACAGTATTTGTACGCATCAAACTCAAATAAAACACAAACTGAAATACATTTGTTTCTTTTATGGAAAATGAGCAATATATACAACCAGATATATTCATAAAAGATAATACATTATAATTGTAAAAAAAAGTGTTTTTCATAATAAAAAAAAAAATTGCTCATCTTACTGTAGATGCTGAATTGGCCTAACAAGAAACCACTGGCTTAACAGCAAATGTCTATATCCTGTGTTGGCCTAACTTGCTCATCTGTGAGCAACTTTGGGCTGAATGCCATGCATGAAAGGTGCTATATAAATTATTATCACTCTTTCACTCTGAGACTCATAAGGCAGTATTAGATTTAGTAATATTACCATGAATCTAGCCATTTATTTACCATATTTTATTGGAAAACATCTCTGAAACTCTGAAAAAGTCATATTGCTAGTTTACCATAAAAAGTCAATTCCACCGATTGGTTGAGCATATTTTCCAAAAAATAATTACACCCTTGTTAAAACTTTTTTTGTGCATCAAGTTATCTAAATATGTTCAGTCAGTGCTCTGACACTAAAATATGTCAAAATTGATATGGTTACCTTACAAAAGTTGACCAAAAAGAGATTTCTTCAGCAGTGATTTTTAGCATTGCCAACTTTCTCAGTGGAAGCTAGCTGAAGGGCTTTCTATTTGAACCACAGTGACATCTAGAGGTTGTTTTGTGCATAACACGTCAACCAGATGGTAGAGCTGGCTGAATCAGATGGAGTTCAACTTCTTTTTTTAAACAAGATATCAAGACACAAAATGTGCTCTACCAAATGGTGGCGCTGGCAGTTAAAGGGTTAAGGAAACACCTATCAGCATTGCACAACATAATGTTACAGCCCCAGAAACTTCAGCCTCCAAAATACCCAATCAGTTGACATAAATGCTTTCTACAAAAGAAACATTTATAACCTTCATAAGGGTAGGATTTATTTTATCACTGTATTAGACTGTGTTACTATTCGCTAGTTGTACCTAATAAACTGGCAACTGAATATATATTTACAGTATAATCTCTCCCTACTACACATACAAAAATATGGGGAACACTAGAGATTCTTTTGTATTGAACACTGATGCTGCAGGAAAGAAAGCCCTCTCTTAATTGTATATTTTATTAAATCACGTGAGCCCATTTTTAACACTGAAACCTAAAGAGCTTTCAAATAAATCCTAAAGTAGTTAAGTAAAGGGAGATTATATTCAACATATCCATTGTGTACCAAAATTCAAATAATTGTCTTCCTGCGATAGAGCTCCTGAAACAATGTAACAAGATAAACTATATTTTTTGATGATCTGTCACATACATTCAAAACAGTTATTATGCTGACTTACATGCCACAGCCTCAGAAACGTGGAGTCATCTTCATGCAGATATGCAGGCAGAGCACGGAGGACAGCAGCACGTCGGACATAGACGTCACCTTGCTCCTTGAGTGTGAGAACATATCTTTGTTTTACTTTGGATGCTAAACAGTATAGCCACACAACAATTGATATCACAAGAAAGGGCTCTTCCATGACTGAAGAGATTACCATTTTGACAAAGATAATCCACTCTAGTATGAGAATAAAACACCAAGAGGCATAACCGACTCACCTGGAGGTCATAGGAGACGAATAGCTGAATCAGAACTTCAGCTACCTTCCCTTTGCTTGCCGCCTTCTTCCTGAACAGGCTCTGAAGACGGGGGGCATGTCTATCCAACTCCGCATAGAAGTGGTTCTTCAGGTTGAGGTTTGTTATCCTGTGAAACTCTGCACAAATCTGCCAAAATATAAAATGACTATTTAATTCACAGTACAATGTAGATGTGGACTGAAGGCAGCAGAGATAAACACAAACATAACATGCTAAAACTGAGTAAACATGTCAAAGTTATCAGTGACAAAGGCACACAAAATAATTATATAGTGGTAATAAATACAATATTTTCACCTGTGACTCCATTTTCAAGGCAGGCCAGCGTTCCAGGATCTCTCCAATAGGTAGCTCATCATTGATGATCTCATTGCGCCGCAGGACAAAGGTAGTCTGCATTAACTTTTCAATCAAGGGAAGGTTTTTATCACTCCTCGTAACTTCATCTACGATTTGGAGTCTCAATCGCTCGAGGCTTGTACCATCTTCACCCAGTGGGAAATTAGGCAAGAAATTCACCTCTGCCCTCTTTGGTCTTTTGATGTTAGAGTCAGATTGAAGAAGCCATATATCTGCCAGTTGCTTCAGTTTCCTAAAGAGAAAAAACATTGAAGGTTAGCTGGGTTGCAAAGTTTTCACAAAATGATCTGAGAAACACTATTTTCGAACCTACAATGGCAACACAGTCTCACGGCATTTCGTGTTATAGTCACGAAATTAATCTATTGATTCGTGTTCACCAACACGATTTCGCCATTTTTTTCGTGTCACACAGAACGATTTTAAAAGCAATGTAAATAATATCAAATTAGAAGGAAAAAGACATTTAAAAAATACAGATTTCAGTATTCTGACACAGAACGATTTTAGAAGCAATGTATTTATATTGGTAGTATGTTTCGTGCCTGCACCAAATAATAACAAATTAGAAGGAAAAAAAGATGACATAAAATACAGATTTCAGTATTCTGAGGCTCTGAGCCCCATTTCTTTTCCTCACTGACGGCAAAAAAACTCAGACATTATACAATTTAAAATAAAAGGGATAGGGTTAGGCTTAGGGTAAGATATTGAGTAAGAACATGTTTTTATGAACCACACAGCTTCTGGTCTTCCAAGACCCGACCGGACAAAAAGACGTGTTGCAGGCACGAAACATACTACCAATAGAAATACATTGCATTTAAAATCGTGTTGGTGAACACGAATCAATAGATTAAATTAATTTCGTGACTAATAACACGAAATGCCGTGAGACTGGGTTGAAAATGGCAGCAGGACGCTCGCTTTTCTTCTTTTTTGTTACCGCATGCATGTCTGTGCATGTTTTATTAGCTTGGAGGCATAGAGGATTTACGTTAATTTTATCCACTAACGTTTTAACATAACCGTGCATTCTGAATGTTTGTAAAAAGCAAGCTAACTTGAAACACTAGACTATTAATCTGTTAAACCGGGCAGCCACCGGTACAGAGGGCTTTTTGTTCACGAACTTTGTCTCAGGGCTTCTTAACATTTAAAAACCTATTAATGTGTCATACCCACTTAACGAAACTCACCTAACTGACGATACGAACCATTTTTACCGAAACAAAACACAAGTCTCACAAGAAGCTCTAAATTAGCCCGGAGCGAAAAAATGCCTAAGTCACGGTAGAAATACTTTATTACTTATCAGATTAAAGCTGAGATTCCACAGACTCTAGAAGTATTAGTATCATCACTGTGCAATCATTACCTTTGCTAAGTTACATGTAATTGAAAACGCTGGGGGGTATAAATTACCTTGTAAAATGAATAGTCTATTGTTTCAAGTTAGCTTGCTTTTACTAACATGCAGAACGCACGGTTATGGTACATTGTAGTGGATCAAATGAACGTAAATCCTCTATGCCTCTAAGTTAATAAAACATGCCCAGACATGCAGTAAAAAAAAAAGAAGAAAGAAAACGCGCGGCCTGCCGCCATTTTAGGTTCGAATTTTCCAGAGAACTTTTGCAACACAAACGTTCCACTTTGAGATATAACTTAAAACAATATAGAAATACTGTCTTACACGTAAGTTAAATCATTTTTCAAGTAAGGCAGATATTAAATGTAGGCTAGCTAACAAGAGCTCAAATCAAACTAACAGACCATGCGACACAAAGTGCATTAGATGCAGAAATTAATAAAACATCATTTAAATACTGTGCAAAGGCAAGACGTAACTCACCAGAGTAGTGCGGCCAAAAAAAGGATCAAGATTCCGGCAGTGAGTGCAATCAGCAAGGTGGGGAAAGTATTCTTAAAAGTATGAGCGATTTCAACCGAGGCGAGGAGCTAATGGCGGACTCTGGTGAAGGCATGGGTGAGAGAACGTCTACGCACGTCGGGGGCGGAGCACATACGTGATGACGTCAGACCAGCGTCAGACAGATTCAGTAAAAATGTTTGAGTACAATCACCAATATGACCCAAAGTGGTTGAACACTGTATACACAATATTAAAAATCAGTTCATAGTCATCAAAACATTAGCGGTGAATTAACTTTTTTAAATGTTTAAGTTAAAACAACCCATTTTCTTTCAGAAGCTTGTAATGTTCGGTCTTACAGTGCATTCTAAAGGAAAGAAAGTTTCCGTAATACACATTTAGGTGCTTATTTGACTAACTTTGTCTATTTGTGTATGTAAATTCCTCCTAAATCCACCAAAGTAAGCCTTATATAATGCCTCATTTGTTAATTAAGACATAGTATTTCAGAAAACTTATAATACAAAAAGAATCGTCTTAATATAAATTAAAGCGATGAATTGTTTTTGCATTTACATTACATTACAAAGCATTTAGCGGACTCTTTATCCAAAGCGACTTACAATAAGTGCAATATACCATAAGGACAACAAGAAAAGTGCTGAAATATTAACTCCAAGCAAGCAATATCATTCTTGATAAATAACTTTTAGTTTTATCATGAAGTCTTTTCTAAGAAGCATGAACACACACACACACACACACACACACCGTTATAAGATAAATGTGGTCGAGTAGAAGTATAAAGTAGCAGAAATAGAGTACCTTTAATGTATATTTGATGTTAATGTACTGCTGTTTGTCGTCCTCTTTGTTTTGACTCGTGTGAGTTTGTTAAATGAGACATGAAAGTGAAGTTTGATCTTCAAACAGCTGATACAAATCTCCACTGAGATATCTTTAGTGTGTGTGTGTGTGTGTGTGTGTGTGTGTGTGTGTGTGTGTGTGTGTGTGTGTGTGTGTGTGTGTGTGTGTGTGTGTGTGTGTGTGTGTGTGTGTGTGTGTGTGTGTGTGTGTGTGTGTGTGTGTGTGTGTGTGTGTGTGTGTGTGTGTGTGTGTGTGTGGTGTGTGTGTGTGTGTGTGGTGTGTGTGTGTGTGTGTGTGTGTGTGTGTGGTGTGTGGTGTGTGTGTGTGTGTGTGTGTGTGTGTGTGTGTGTGTGTGTGTGTGTGATGTGTGTCAGCTGTCGACAGGCAGCTGCTGTGTTTCCATTCTGCTCTCCTCTGTTTCACCTCCTGTTTTAACCAGCCCAGACCTTTGATTCAAACACACAAAACTTTATTCTAAATTGTATTGCTGATAATGATTAATCGTTATGATTTTTCATGCGACAATGTCAGAAAATGCTTTTTCTGTTTTATATCATATTAAAATAAATATCTTTGGGTTTTGAATAAAAAAAGGACATTAAAGGACATCATCTTGGATTTTGAGAAAATTAGGTTTTTCTGACATTTTATACCAAACCATTTAGAACCATTTAGCCTCCCGCTTTTTTAACGCTGATTTGGGTGACTTGTGTAATTCGTGGAGAACCGAAGAGTTTTTTTTTTTTTTTTTTTGTTAAAAACAATAATCTGAATTACCTTTAAAACAAACAAAAGAGGCTTTTTTTCCTATTAAGGAGTTTAAACAGATTTTGACGGAATCCGAAAGATAAAGAAAATGTTAAAAAAAACTATTTTAGCTACAATATTTGTTTAAAAATGCGCATGTTTTATGTTTAACAAGGTCATTGAATGGTTCAAAATATGTGTAGCTGTTGGTGTCTGACAGCAACATTCCTCCATGTTTTTTCAGATAATTATTTTAATATTATATGTATACATTTAACTTTAGACTGTTTAAAATACAGACAAAGGACATAAATATAGAATTAAATTTTTTTACAATGTGACCCCCCCCCCTTCAGGTTGCCCAGCTGCTGCTGAGCAGTAACATGGTGGTGGCGCTGTTGGAAGGAGAGAGGAAAGAGCCCACAGACTCCGCCTTCACCACGCCGCTGCACCTCGCCGCCCGCAACGGCCATAAAGACATCATACGGTGAGACAGCCTCCACCCATAGTGGCCATATAGTCTAGTTGCCAGCATACAGTAGCCAACCTGGAAATGTTGAGTACTCCAAAGTTTTATGTTAGAAATGTATAGTACGGGTCTCCAGCACATAGAAACTGCCGGATGCTAACTTGTACATGTTGGGCAATTTGCACAATTAGCATATAAGTTGCCTTAATTAGCATGAATGGCATCATAGCCTATGTGGAAAATAGTTAACAAATTACTCTTGGCCGATTTGGAAAATGTTGGAGTGGTTTTGGAGGTTATTGAGGATGCTGAATTCATTTCTGACATTGCAGGTAAAAAAATGGCAGTTTTAACCAGAAAGTAATAATAAATAATCCTTATATTTATTATAGCGCTTTTTCAATGACTCAAAGCGCTCCTTACAAATACACATTACACATACATATCATGGTCATGTACTGTGGACAATACCCACAGGAGCAAATTCAGGTGAAGTGTCTTGCCCAAGGACACAACAGCTTTACAGACGCAGCGGCGGCGGGTTTCGCCCCCTTGATCTGATAAGCAAACGCACAACCCACTGCGTCACCCCGCCCGTGGCAATATGTGTACTCTCGGTGGGCTGACTTTGAAGTGTTGCAACCATTGGTTATAGAGAGCACAAGATGAAAATGATTAGTCCCCTAAATCTTTCAAATTGACCCAAAATGAATCAAAATCAGCCCACAAAGAGTACAAATATTGCCACTTTCTGGTTAAAACTGATTTTATTTTTGATTCAGCATCTTCTATAACCTCCAAAACCACTCCAACATTTTTCAAATAAGCCAAGCCATTTTTAAACTGTTTTCCACATATAATAATGGCTATAATGGTAATTAATGGTAATTAACTCAACTTATGCTAATTTAGCAAATTGCCCAACATATGCAAGTTAGCACCCAGCAGTTTCTATGTTCTGGGGACCCGTACTATACATTTCTAACATAACGCTTTGTGTTACTCAACATTTCTGGGTTCACTATAGGACTCGAGCTGGCAACTAGACTAATAACATCCCGTCCTATTTTTTTAAAGTGTAATGTAATTAAACTTCTCTGCTGCTTCACTGAATATATTCGACTGGGATGAATTTAAAGGTTCACTTTGATTTTACATATCAGAGTTGATTCTGACTGAGATAAGGTCACTTCCTAGAACAATTTCTTTCCGGATACCGGTTCAGGACTCAAGTTCAGGACTTATTTTCTTGCCTCAGATGTAAGACTCAGATCCAAGCCTTAGGTTCAAAGCTAAGCTCCAGGACTCTCTGTTTTGTTGCAGTTTGCTGCTGAATGCCGGCATCGACATCAACAAGACTACCAAGTCTGGAACGGCTCTGCATGAGGCGTCTCTGTACGGGAAGACGGAGGTGGTGCGCCTGCTGCTGGACGTGAGTCATCAACTTCTTTTGAAAATCATCCATCATTTTGCGTCCTTAAAATGCAGCAAACTGCATCAAAACACACATTTCTAAATGTACATTTTTACAATATAATACAGTCATATAATAGTTATCACTTTTAATCACTACTTGAGTTGATTGGAAAGTTTGTTATGCAATAAATGTAATCAAATATTTCACTTAGTCAGTTTGCTCAATTAGTCTAGTTGCCAGCAGTGTGTATAGTACGGGTCCACAGCACATGGAAACTGCCAGGTGCTAACTTGCATATGTTGGGCAATTTGCACAATTAGCATAAGGGGCGTTCATTTAAATCAATTGCATTAAAGCCTATTTAAACAGTTGTAAAAAAAGAAAAAATTGCGTCGACTTAGTATTGCCCGATGAGGATGCTGAATCAATTTTGGACATTTTCAGGATCAAGAATGGCATATTTGTGCTCTCGCTGGGCTGATTTTGACTACCATGAGTAATGTTGCGACCACTGGATATTGAGAGCACAAGATGAGAATGATAATCTCTACTGTGGACAATTATTTTTCAAATAAATAGGCGACCTGTCCAATCCAAATGATCCATTGTCCCCCAAATCGGCCAACAATTTGTACAAATATTGTCATTTTCTGGTTAAAAATGCCATATTAGATACTTAAAGATACTCAGAAATGGACTCTGCATACTCAATAACCCCCAAAACCACTCCATAGCTGTCCAAATCAGCCAAGCCATTTTTTAAACTATTTACCTTAAGCTATAATGGTAATTAACGCAACTTATGCTAATTGTGCTAATTTTCCAACATATGCAAGCTAGCATCTGGCGGTTTCTATGTTCTGTGGACCCATACTTTACATTCCTAAGATAAAAGATTTGGGGTACTCAACATTTCCGGGTTCACAATAGGACTCTGTGAGCTGGAGACTAGACTAAATGACCTTTCTTCAGGAGGGTTTCACTTTTATTGTCCTGCAGCTACACATTTTAGCTCAGCGCTGACGTAACTTCAGATCAAGCCTCAACCAAACCCCTGAGGGAAAACTGCAGATTTAGGGCTGATTAGTTTCACATCAAAGGGCTGTAATAAGTCTTTTGTCCCTGCAGGCCGGAGTGGATGTGAACATCAGAAACACGTACAACCAGACGGCGCTGGACATCGTCAACCAGTTCACCACGTCGCACGCCAGCAGGGACATCAAGCAGCTGCTGCGAGGTCAGAGAACAACTGAGTACATGCCCCGCCTCCTCTGTGTCACTCATTACTTCATATAGAGACAGGACCTGCGCCTCCCTAACAAACATACACATAATGAAGAATTTTCAACGATAAGATTTAACACATGTGGAAGGGAAAAAGCTTTAATTAAACTAAACGCCTTAATAAACTACAAGCAGTTTAGGTTTGAATTGCTTTGCTTCACATTATGGCAATGCTGCTTTTTCAATGTGAGACTGCTCTGAGGTTTCTCTTTTTATTTACTGTTTGTTTCTGCTCTTCCTCCTCATTTGTCCTTTTACGGACAAGATAAGGGCAACATGTGAACAGATTTCATTTTTTTTTTATTTGACTTTTTTCTCAGAACCCAACGATAAAACACTTTTGGCCAGATCTTTAAAAATGTTTTTACATGTTGCCCTAATGCTCTCCCGTATCCTTTACACTATCTATAATATAATAAAAAGAAAAAGGCTCTTAATATCTCTCTCTAAAGAAAAACGTACAGATAATATTGAATATTGAAACTAACATTTAATTATTTCTTTGTAAGACAACGTTTAGTTAAAATAACTATTTTAAAAACTATTTATTGCTTAACCTGTTAAGCCCTGAGCCTGTTTTTCAGGTCTCAGGCTCGAAAATGACATTCCCAGAACAAATGACCATATCTTCCCTTCTAAAAGGGTTAAATTAATAATCTTTTTTCTCAAAGTAATGATAAACCTGTGAGTTGGATGTAGAAAAGTCAGAATCAATATAGATGTTTTTTATGTTAAAGAAAATTCAGATTTTACATAGTAAAAAACTGTAAATTATAGTGTCCGTCCAAAAATTATTTTGTACTTATAGTGAAAACCACCCTTGGATGATGGGTTAGTAGACTAAAAGCTTTAGGAATCCAAAGTACAACATATAATAAGTACCCTGTATCAAGATTGATGCAAAACAAGTGACATTTGACCTTTTTAGAGAGGTTTAGCAAAAAGAAACCACTTCTGGGGTCATTTGGGTGGATTTTCCATATCTCTGGCCCCCCTTGCTCGATTTTGATGGTTGACACCTCTTTCTGACCGTTAGAGCCAATAGAATCGAAGGGGGAGTCCCCCACACACACTCATTGTGAGGAGAAAAGGTGGGGGCTTCGCGCATGTAATGTTGCATCAGCGTAAACCTATCTCTAGCTTTGACATCTGGAAACAGAAAAGCAGTTTTATTGCTCATGGAGAGACTACAGAGCCAAGGTAAACATTTTAGCATTTTTAGCTACCGAGCGTCACCTGTTTTGATGTCCGTTTTTGCTTATAACGTCGCCATTTCGTATAATTCAGTGATAATGTGGGTGTCCATCGATTCTGTGTCACCTCACGATGTGAAACGATGTCATGGATGTGGAGAAGAGATAAATAATAAGGTTTTGTGAGTGATTTTCGGTGCAGTAAGGTGTTAGCATTTTTCGCTCGTTGCTAATTCAGAGGCTCAGTGTTAGCATTGTGGGTTTTCTTTTGAAAAAAAAATAAAAATGATCAGTCAGATGAGTTTCTTCTCGTTACATGGATATAAAACATTCATAGTTTATTAAATGAACATGCCCTCAGACACTGTTTCCTGCAAGATGTTGCGGCAGTGCCCCGGTACCGGGGTCTCTCGGGCTTAACAGGTTAAGGAAATAAAATGTGTTTTTTAACTGTGAAATGGAATTGAGGGTTTTTTGTGAATGTCTTGCAGGAGACTAAACAAAACATTTCTCCAAAGCAAGAAATACTCTCATTAATATTCTCAGTAATAAATGCAGATATTTTTTTTCATGAAAATCTTCTTTATGTTACCCCAGAATTCATGCAAACACCAGCTACTCCAAACACCAAACATTCCTCCTCTTTCGTTCGTCACTTCATTTTCCCTCTTCTTCATGTCTCACACACACCTCTCTGCATTTGGGCTCCTTCACCTGAGCTGTTTGAAATGTGGGGTTACATAACGTTGGACTCTTATCAGGTTCTCACAGCTTCAAAGAGCAGACTCCCATTCAGCCTCAAATTTAGTGTGTGTGTGTGTGTGTGTGTGTGTGTGTGTGTGTGTGTGTGTGTGTGTGTGTGTGTGTGTGTGTGTGTGTGTGTGTGTGTGTGTGTGTGTGTGTGTGTGTGTGTGTGTGTGTGTGTGTGTGTGTGTGTGTGTGTGTGTGTGTGTGTGTGTGTGTGTGTGTGTGTGTGTGTGTGTGTGTGTGTGTGTGTGTGTGTGTGTGTGTGTGTGTGTGTGTGTGTGTGTGTGTGTGTGTGTGCTCTCTGTAATCCTGCAGTCTTTTGAAGTTCCTGTGGGAACACACTGAGGGAGTAATGAGCGGCTTGTGATTTAAACATGCTGCAGTTTGTTTTCTGCTGCCGAGAGGAACGTCTCATATTGTCGGCGCTTTAACAGTAACAAATCACTTCTTTATATAACTTCGAAAAGATAACTTTTTATTATACAGTACATTAAGAATAAAATAACAAAAAGGCTGCCGTAACATCAATACCATTGTTTGGCTTTTTATTTCTCACAAAGTTGCTCATTTCAAACATACATTGCACAAAATAACTGTAAAACGGTTGAATTGTGTAATCTTTCACTAAATCATATATGAATAATGCTTTTTAATCCTTAATCTATTTAATTGTAAAAAAAATGTTGTCTATATGTAGAACTTAGGCAGCATTTTCAAATAATATGGGTAAAGAGGGATTTAAATCTGAACAAATAAAAGGAAGGTTGAGTTTTGATAAAGATTTTGGATATATTTATACAATTCTAAAAGTTCTGAGCTACTTCCTGACCCCCAAAATCCTTTATTATTATCTAGTTTTTTAAATATACACAAAATCAGCCATACCGTTTGAAATAATAAAAAAGACATGAAAAACAAAAAGTGAAAAAGCATACAAACCTCAAAGGATAACACAATTTTATTAAAGTACATCAACTGTTACCATCCATAAGTGATGATTTTTTTAAATGTTTTGTTTCCTGTTCAGATGCGACGGGCGTCCTGCAGGTCCGAGCGCTGAAGGATTTCTGGAACCTCCACGACCCGACGGCTCTCAACATCCGCGCCGGGGACGTCATCACGGTGAGATTCAGTCTGCAGAGGAAACCGCTCAAGAGTTTTACTGCCACTTTTCGTCATTGTAGATGACTTTTAGTCACCGTTAGTCAAAATGTGTGTCAGCTATTGAGAACTGTCCTGTGTCTTATGTTCTCTTTTAGTCATCATATCATCTTGAACATCTCAGCCAATCAGGTTAAGCCGTGTTTTTTCTCACAAGAAAATGTGTAAGGTGTAATGACACCTGGAAAAAAAGCTTGTTGACGAAATCAACACTGAGTCATGACTACATCTCAACATTTCAATGGAAACTAAGTACTAAAGTAGTGTACTTTAGAACAAATTTGAGATACTTGTAATACACTATTTTATACTACTTTAAACTTATACTCCCCACATCTTAGAGGACATTTCTATTTGAAAAATGTACAAAACTTTCAAAAATAAAATGCCAGTCTGCAATTTTAACCTTTATTGTGGGAACAAGTCAGCTCTGAGGCAGGCGGAGACAAGTCCACGCACGCACGCATACACACACACACACACACACACACACACACACACACACACACACACACACACACACACACACACACACACACACACACACACACACACACACACACACACACACACACACACAGTCCTTGAACTCTGTCCTATATTTGATTCGTCACACTTGAGTCAGAGTTTCCTGACTCACATTAGTTTGTGATGAAATGTGTATTTTCCTGAAAAAAATCTAGATTTTTGAATAAAAGAGAATTACAAATAATAGTCAAAACATGTACAATATATGTTAATCTAAATGCAAGCTCTATAGAAAAGAAATACAACAATATTACTATAAAATAATTACTAATATATCCTAAAAAAAATGAGATACCCCACTCGTGAATGTCAGGGAAACAGTGGTTGCTAACAAGTGACCAACAAATGCTAATTAACGTCATCACGCTAAACCTTAGCCACCTTCAGCTTAGCAGTGTTGGCGTGAAGTCATGTGATTTATGTTTCAAAAGTGGGGTTAATATCTGGATATTAGCTTGTTCAATAAAACATGTAAATATCATAAACGTTTGTTTGCCAGAGTGCCATATTCTGCAATAATCCCAAATCCAACCTGAAAAATGCCTTTGGCTCTTTGTGGAGGGAACCAGGGAGATGCTAATTTATTGTGTGGAGATGGGAAGAATGCTAATATTTACTTATTCACAAACCAGGCACCTGAGGCCCCTTTTGACCCGTCTCGTCCCCTGCAGGTGTTGGAGCAGCACGTGGACGGACGCTGGAAGGGCCACATCCACGACACCCAGAGAGGGACGGACCGCGTGGGCTTCTTCCCCCCCTCCATCGTGGAGGTCATCAGCAGGAGAAACGGTCAGTCTCACAGACAGGACCTCCAAAATTAGACTGACACTCAAAAGAAATGAATTCCCACTGAAGACTGTACAAATATATGGCTATCAGAAATGTCCTTAAACAGCTGCTGCTTTGTATGGAAGCACATTTTGGCCAAAATAATAACTTTGTATCTCAAAATCATGACTTAGTATGTCAAAGTAATTATTCAGGTTCTCAAAATAGCGACCTAGTGTCTCAAAATAACGATTTAAATGATCAAAATGTTGTCTTATTATCTCAAGATAATGACTTAGTAACTTGAAAGATTATGAAGTTTTTGTTAAGGAATTAATCTAAAAATATTGACTTAGTATCTCAAAATAAAATAAATTAAAACAATGACTTTAAATAAGGTTTTGAATACTTTGTGTACTAGGCGCCCCCCCTATACATATTCATCCATTCTACGATCAGTGTTTTTTGTATTTATTTCCACCTCACTTCAGCCTTATAGCAATTTATTAGAGCTGCAACAGTTGGCAAGTAAATGTTTTTGCGAAATTGTCTTTAAGGCTTTCAGGCACTCAAATATGAGGATTTTCTACGGAGCCCTGGAGGGTTCATAGAGAGAGAAAATAAATAAAACGAGGCCACGTTTTATTCATTTGTGCGCACGATATACGTATCTCGTGCGAACAAGATACTTTCTTATGGTTAGACACATCGAACTGCCCGATTATTACGCCATATTATTAGTTAGTGTGTGTGCATGCGCGCGGCTAAAACGTAGCAGCCTCGATCTCTATTCAGCTGTTCTAATGAAGGTAAACACAGTGAAGGCGCTGCGTAAAAGACAGCTCTCTGTGCGCAGATAGCTGACACTGTGAGAGTCACGGACATGAATTCATAGATCAAGGCAGACTGGTTTACAGACTCTCCTGTTTTGCGAATCCGGTGCTTAAACAAATAGCTCTACACCTCTGGCCGAAATGTCCCTAAAATGAAGTCCGAGTTTGAAATATATCTCAAATAATGTATGCACTGCCATTTCCCCACATAAACATAACAGTCTGCAATGAAACGGTTGTCTCCTGTGTGCTCCACTTCCTACTTGGCGCACTGGTAACTTTTTCATGCGAACGAGAAAGCATATCGTGCGCACAAATTAATAAAACGTGGCCTCGTTTTATTTATTTTTTCTCTCTATGAACCCTCCAGGGCTCCGTCATTTGCTGCTTTTCTTAATTTGATATTATTTTAAAATGATAATCTTAGTGTTTCCGACTGACAAAACAAGACGTTTAAAGACCTCACATTGGTCTTTAAGAAACTGGGTTGGAAATGTTTGACTTTTTCTGACATTTTATAAGCCAAACAATGTATTGTAAATGGGAAAAATTGGTAGCATAAATACTATAACAAATACGAACAGTATATCTGAGTTAAGGTGAAAGGTCTATGGAAGATAATTAAAATACCACCAATAAAAAAATTACTATAAAATGTCTAAAATATATTTTATGAATTCAAATGAAAGTTTTAGATAAGAACATACAAATTAAAATATGAAAAGATACTAAACAGCAGGAGCTCTAATTTATGCATTTTAAACACATTACACATATGAGACCTTTATCACCTCATATAGGATGCGCTGTAGATCTAAAGCCATTTTCCGTTAGAAACTAATCTGCCTGCTTCCAGAACCATCCCATGCTTCCTCCTCCTCCTCCTCCTCCTCCTCCTCCTCCTCCTCCTCCTACTCCTCCCCCCTTCCCCCTGCATCCCTCCATCTCCCTTCATTCCACATAATGACTGACCACCACCTCTAACCATCAGCTTGATAACCCCCCCTCCTCCCTCCCTGGTCCTCCCTGTCTCGCCCTGTAGGGGGCACCCTGTCCCGGCACGCCTCTCTGCCCACCACCCGCCAGCAGCAGCTCTCCAGAGCCCCCCTCTCCTCCAGCCTCAGCTCCGCCCCTCAGACCGACGACTCCTACACCCTGTACGCACCCCCTACCCACGTGGTGCTGCCGCTAGCCAACGGCCTCACTACCAACACAGGTATACACTCACTCAGGACTCACTGGTCAAACTGTGGACTGTTTAAAGGGTCCCGTGTTCTTGCTTATCCAGAATCTTACATGCCCCTTTTAATGGGACATTTTGGATGTCTTAAAGTGGGGTTTAATTACTTCTCCATAGTCAGTGTATTAACAATTAACAGGAACTAGCTCAAAGTTCACTCTTCAAAGATTCAAATGAACTAATTCACTTTCATAATTCACTATTTTTTTCCCCCCCAAAAAGTATGTGTTAAATGTTTTAGTTTATTTAAATAAGCCATTCCGAGCTATTCTTTATCAGTAGAACCTCGTCCTCCTAGACATCCAGCCACGATGATTTCCTCTGCCCACTTCCTAACCTTATCATTTATTGCATACTATACAATCACAGGCAGAGATTACAAGAAAAGGGAGTTTAGGTTTTACCACTCAAAACAATGTGTTTTATTATGCAGACATTAGAGAACAGGTGCAAGCTGTACTCTATTCAGGATTATAATGTGTCCTTGCTTATCCAGGATCTGTGATGCACCTTTAAAGGAATCATTTGGATGTGTTTAAGTGAGATTGTATGAGGAACTTCTGCATCTACATATTAAATATAGTAGATTACATTTGTAGAAACCGACAGGAGTACCAGCAACACATAAAGTTCACACAAATTCAAATGAGCTAGTTAACTTTCAATGTTTGCTATTGAGCATCTTGAGGCTTATCCGTTTCAATAGCCATCCATCCCCCAAAGATGGCTTTTTCTCTCCCCACTTCCTGAGCTAAATACATGAATCTACACCACTTATAATCATAGACAGAGTGTGTCAGTGTATAACCTACAGTAGATGTTGTTTTTAGATTCAGACAGGAGTAGCAGCAAAGAGCTATGCAATGAACTGCTGCGGACGTTTTTGCATTTTAGTGAATTGGAAAAAACAGTAATTTCACCTCCCAGACGATGGGGGTTGGTCTACTTCTGCCTCGATAAGTTAGTTTGATTGTTTTGTGTGATTTTGAGTAATCCTAAGGCATAGAACCATTTATCTGTTCATCTTTTCGAATTAAAGTCTAAATCGGATTCAAATGCATTTTGGAACCAACTTGGAAAAGGTGGCACCCCTAACTTAAAAACATATTGACTGATTTATTGATTACATTTTGAGTAATTGAGGATTTGTCCGACTTCCCCTCATAACTAAGCTTAAAATGTGCCTAACCCTAACCCTGATACATTTGTTGTTCTCACCAAGCTTCTGGATCTAAACATTTCACAAATATGCCTGGATGAATTTGGTGCAATTTTTCTGTAAACCTGAATGTTTCTAAAAAACTATTCAAAAATGAAGAGGAAGTCCTGCACTTTTTCACATCCAGCACCAAGTGTTTTCCCTTACTTACCTTCTAGAAGCACCCTGTAATGAAATAAGCAGAAATATACTTAGTTATGAGATTTAAGCTGTTTAGGCTTCTTCAAATAAAAAATGTTTGCATTGCCGATAATCAACGTGATTACTTTATATTGAAAGGAAACCACATTTTGATTCGACTTACTATGAGATAATTGATCAGTGTGTGTGCTTCGATCCCTAACCCGGATTCAAACCCGAAGTATCTTCACTAATCTGCATGAAGAAGAAATCTTTCTTTTTCATTTCTGCTGTAAGAGTCCCAAAACAAAGACCCGGTAGATGCTAATCTTCAGTCAGCCCCCCCACGACAGAACGCAGTCCATCAGAGTCTTTGTGTCCGATAGGTTTGTCTCCGGGCCGCCTTTCTCAGTCTGGGTGTTATTTCGAGGACATCTGGGTCCTCAGAGACTCGTGTCATGGTAAGAGCCCCCGAAACGATAGCTTCCCCCCCCCCTGGCTGTTCTGAAGCTGCCTCGCTGCCCCGCTCCACGCTCTGCATCTGGACCCCACACACCGAGACATTTGAAACAACTATGATCTACAAAATGTGACCAATCTGGCCTCAAGTCACTTCACGTCACGTCTCTTTACATTATCTCCTGACACCTCATGTTGCTTTACATTATCATGATCATTACTTTACTTTACAATATCTCATGTCACTAAAGATGACTTATTTCCCCCCACGTCACTTTACATGACCTTACTTCGCATGTAGTTAAAGGTCCCATGTCATGCTTTTCTGGTTATTACCCGTCCCCTTGTGTGTTGTGTAGGTTTTTATGCATGTTAACGGTCTGCAGAGTCACAAACCCTCAAAGTACACCCTGTGGTGAGTAAAACTCTAACACAGAAAAGCCCCAGAACGCCTCGTTGGGGATTTCTCTTTTTCCATTGTTTACTTCTTGGGTATAGTGACGTATTTCGGGTATAGTGACGTAACGTAACGTAACGGCTCCGCAGATTGGTCCAAATAGACCAATCCGCGGAGCCGTTACGTTACGTCCGCGGAGCCGTTACGTTTGGACCAATCTGCGGACTTCCTCACACACACACACTCGGCGGGACGTTGCGAGGTTCGCTGCTGCGAGGAGCGGGACACTGTGAGCTGGCTCACTGGTGTGGGGTCGGCGAGACACCGCGGAACTCAGCCTGGGCACACACACAAACACCCAGCCAGGCTGCGGGTGTGTGTGTGCCCAGGCTGAGTTCCGCGGTGTCTCGCTGTCTCGCAGACGGCCACTGGGCTCACAGGGAGGGGGGGGGGGCAGGATCTCCAACACGCCGTTTAGGACAGAGAGTGAATACACATACTATACAGAGATGCTGTATGAGAAACCAATGTGAGTTTGGAAAATTGCACAATATAAATCTATTCTAGTAGACCTCAACAATGGAATTATGATCAGTAGAAATAGCCATGACATGGGACCTTTAATACATTATCTCATTTTATTATCACATTTTCTTACCACGCTTCAAATGACTTAATGTTGCTTTACATTATATCACATCACTTTGCATGATTCTGTACACCCCCAATGTCCCTTCACCTTATGTAGTGTACTATTTCATGTTATCTCATGTCATTTCACATAATCTCAAGTTGCTCCATGTCACTAGATATCTCTTCCCATTATCTCATGTCACTTCCCATTATATCGTATTGTTTCACATTATCTCATTTCACTTTTTTTTGCTTCACTATAACACACGTAGCTTCACATTATCTTCCATTGCTTCACATAATCTCTCATTTGCTTCACATGATCCAATTTTGCTTCACAATATCTCACATCTCTTCATATAATCTCGTGTCATTTGACATTAAATCATGTAACTTTGAATGAAGTCGTACTGTTTCACATTATCTCGTGTCACTATACATTATCACACAGTCTTTTACATCTCACGTCGCTTCACATTTTCTGACATCGACTCACAGTATCTCAAGTCTATTCACATTATCCCACATAGCTTCACATTTCCTCACATTTCCCTTAACCTCCTGTTTTTTCACATTCAATCAGATCCCCTCACAACACTGAAGCAGTGTACAATGATTTCCTGATGTTGCGGCACGACGTGCCATTTTGCCTTGTTTCATCTCACGTAGTCTCTTGTCACATCATGGACACATGCTAGAATGTATCTCCTGAACATCATTATTGTCAAGTGCTTTATGAAACCTCTAGCAAGACCTGTTGACAACCCTCCTAACCTTAACTATTTGATGTAATTGAGTAACCCTTATCTTCATGCAAGGGTTTCGGAAGTCAAGGATCCAATATAAACACTACTTTTGGTGGCACATTCTATCATTGACCTTCCTTATGGGCTAAATTAAACACAAACTCCCTGAAGGTGAGGGTTTTAACACAAACACTACCGTGTGCTTGGTGTGTCGGGTCCAAACACTCTGAATGATTCAATGCTTCATGCTAAACCTGCCGTCAGTGCGTCTGCTACCAGTAATCCCTGTTGTTGTATTAACTGGTGCCACAGGGGGGTGCCACTTAGCATTTCATCTAAACCCTCACATCGCAAAATGTTGAGAGCTCAGTAAGTGGCGAGGAAAGTAGAATCTGCTATGAGTTATTATCCATTATTAACGATGAATTATATTATTGTGCGTGTTCACCGAAGCAACTGCAACAAATGCTGACCCCTTCACATGTTCAGCATTCTACACTCCACTTTGAACCACTATGAGTTCAACTTCCGGGTATTTAAAGTGCACTTTCACATACTTGTATCTGTGAAAGCACTCAAATGATCAAGGGTAAGGTCTCATGGTGGACACTGGAAGGGAAGGGACTTCACGTCTGTTTTTAATAATAATAATGTCCTGTCTTTAAAGCGTTACTACACATGAATGGACTCGTGCCTGCAGCTGTGCTCCCCTGCTCAGCTTTTAGACCAGAAACTTGCATTTGCCCGGCACCCCCCTCCTCGCTCCTTTTCCCCCTGCAGGCTTTTGACCCCGGCGAAGAGCTTCTGCTGCTCCCCCCCCACTCCCTTCTGGACATCAGGACTTTATTTTGTGTTTTGTTTTGCAGCTGGAGACAGGAACAGCGTCGGGAGCACCGGCAGTGTGGGCAGCACCCGGAGTGCCGGCAGCGGACAGAGCACGGAGAGCACCAACGCTCCAAACGGACTGCAGCACAACGCCGTTCATCACGACAACACCCACAAGGTACTAGCATAGATGACGTGCGACATTCCGGCAATTTCTTTTCTACAAGTGAGGAAAAATATATTCCCAGAAGCCTTGACGATCAGATCATCATAAGAGCGTATGTCATGCAAGAAAGCCACAGTAAGAGAAGTGCAGGAAAGAGTCCTAAACCCGAGAAGTTGGTTAGCAATCTAGCCCTTCCTGTTCCCTCACCTTAAAGTCAATGGTTTTTTTTATCAGATTTTGTTTAGAAGCACAACAAAGATGGGTAAAGGATGATTTTAAAACAGTTAGTTACTGTAATACAAATATAAATAATAAAGACATTGTTTTAATTAAAGGGTTTCTATCATTCTATCCTGCACTTTTGTATGAATAATTCTGCATATCTTACTATATACACAGACACATAGTTTAGTAAAGATTGTAACACAACAGCATTTGCACTGCAAAATGTTTCAAGGATAGAACCTGAGATAAAACGTTGCTAGAAGACAAAGAAAGTTGGAAAAAACAAAGTTTTGGAAAAGTCATGGAAATGTAACTAAAGCTATTTTGCTGGTGAGAGATTTTTACAATCACGCCCTAGTCTAGTCTACAGTGGCTTTAGCCTGTAGGAGCTAGTAAGCCTACTATTTGATTTGATATAATATAATAAACCATTTTCAGTGGTACCGCTGAGAAAGAGTAATTTTTTTGGTCATGGAAAATTAGGTAAAGGTCATTGGTTCAAGGTTCAAGGTTCAAGGTTCTTTATTTTCAATCTGACATAGCTACAGAGTAATTATGCAGTTGAAAATCTTATGTCACAGGCTTCTCCAACATGCAACATAATAACATAACATAATAACAATAAGAGCAAGAGCAATACAAAAATAATAATAGTTATAAAAATGAAATAAAGTTATGATGTGGAATAGTGCAGTATGAGTCTATATACAAGTTATTGGAATGATATATATATTAGGTATTAGATACATACTACTGAGTAGCAGTTGAATGTTTGAAGTTGGAAAAGTGTATGAACCCTGATGTGTTTATATTGCAAGCAAATAAGATCAAAAAAACTAAAAGTGTACGTATTTGAAATATCACAATATATTTGACCAAATTCATTGATATGGATATAGAGATAATAGTGTACGGTTTACTTTTGGTGCTTTCATTAAAAAATGTGATTTGTGATGAACAATAATCAGCAATGTGAATACAATGACTTAGATTGTAGGGTATGGGGTAAGTTGCCTCCAACAATGTGACATCAAATAGACAATAGACATAACCGCGTATGTCAAATGCAGGAATAAGAAAATATATATATGTGATAAAACAGAATGTGAAATGAAATACTGCACAGTAGAATGAAGTCCTTTATATTATATAAAACAAATATGTTGACTCGAAACAGATAAATAAGACTAGCTTAGTGGCCTGTTTTACTCATCATATTATCACATTATTAAAGTTTCTGTTTCTTGTAGAAGGTGAATTGTTCTTGTTATTTTGTTGTGTGCAGCCGGCGCCCCCTGCTGTGGACTCTGGACTCTCAGACGGCAGCAAACAGCCAGATCAGTCAGGTGTGTTTCAACAGTCCTGCCCTGAACCCAGGATAGTGTTTCTGTTACTGAGGAGCTCCTGCTTACTCATTTCAGATGTTCTTTCCATTTCACATACTTGTTCTATGACATGTTTTTGAACAGGAATTAAGAATAAAAAGGGGGTTATCATATACATTTTAGAATTGTATCAGCCCCTTTCTCTCTTGAAAGGTTTACCATCACATTTATATTTAGTGGGAAGACTTTTCATGCATATGATCATTTTCAGAATTACGTCATATTTTTAACCCAGGTATTAATGTTATTGGTTGTGGCTCATCTGTTTTAAGTTTATTTTGTGATATAACCTCTCAATACTCCTTGTAAGGTAATACAACATTTGCAAAAGTAAAAAAATGCATTAATAACAAACTATTTAAAGCCTTTTCTGTTTTGTTTTTGTCACATTGGGGTCCAATATTCAAACCATTTATTTGTCAACATCTGTTACGAATTTGTTGAATTCTTGTGACATTTTGCGGTCTCTCCATGGCTGCAGGTGGGACCCCTCGCAGGCAGACGGTGACGGTGCAGAGACCGGCGGAGCAGGGCTTCACGCAGCAGTTCATCCGCCCTCAGCAGCTGCTGGAGGGGAAGGTACGGACACATTAATCATCTCAAAGATTCAAAGGCTTTAATGTCATATGCACACAAGCTAGAGTCAAGAAATGGAAATGAAAATCTTAAGTCCCGAGCTCCTGCAACACGGCAACATAGTTATATAGGACATAAAACAAATTAAAAAAATAAGAATTGAATAAAAATAGTGCAAGCAGAAACAGAGTAGAATACAATAGTGCAGATTATGTTGCAGCCCAATGTGCAAGTAATGCAGATGAAGTAAACTATATACATGTCAGGAAATAAATAAATACAACAAGCTGAATAATGCAGAGAATGTTGAAAGTGACCAAGTAAATGCAGGAGTCTATATACATGTAAATAGAATAAGATATATACAAGAACAGAACAGAACGTTTAATATTGTACAGTCAAATCAAATGAAATACTGTTTATTACAGTGAGAACTATTTTGATGAATACATTGTCAGATGCAAACAGATGAATGCTTTAGGTAATGGAGGCACTTAAAGGTCCCATGTCATGCTGTTCCAGTTATTACCCGTCCCCTTGTGTGTTATGAAGGTGTTTCTGCATGTAAACGGTCTGCAGAGTCACAAACCCTCAAAGTACACCATGTAGGGAGTAAAACTCTAACACAGAAAAGACCTGTCTATGCTGCCCCAGAACGCCTCGTTGGAGATTTCTCTTTTTCCATTGTTTTCTTCCTGAGTATAGTGACGTAAGGGTCACAGTGACGTAAGGCTGAGTTCAGGCTGAGTTTCGCGCAGTGTTCGAATTACCCATTTGCTTTCGGGGGAGCCCTATTTTTCAGTGCACATCCTGCTACTAAAGACCTCTCCCTCGGTGTGGAGCTGTCAAACTCGACCCTAACGCCGCTTACAGCCGGCCAACTAAAAGTTGTTCCGTTCACGTTGTCATTTTTAGACTCCTTCGCTTCTTTGCTTGTGAATCCAAAAGCTGCGAGGCTTGGCTGTTTTCGTTTCGCCATATTTTTGATTACAAAGCCAGAGTTAAAAAAATATCAATATGAACATTTAAAATACCGCGCCGGCATCGCCACCGTAACCATAGCAACGTAAGAAGCGTAAAGAATGCAGCGCCGCCACGTACAGATGGCAACACCCAGAAATATTCACAAATATTAAACACATATTCAGAAACTGTAATGAACAATAACTATTATTTATTTCAAGAACTTTTATTTACAGAAACTCAACATTTCTAATCTGTGTGACACAAATATGCATGATTTTTTTGGGCTCCCCCTATTTATCTCAAAGTCGGCCTTCAGGGGAGCTCCCCCCCTCTTTAGGGGAGCCAAGCTCCCCCTGGCTCCCCCCCATTTCGAACAGTGGTTTTGCTGTGTCTCGCTGTCTCGCAGACCCCACGCAGCAACCAGGAAATGACACCAGTAACCCAGCTCACACTGTCCGCTCCTCACAGCAGCGAGCCGCGCAACGTCCCGCCAACACGGCACCCAGACCCCACGCAGCATTCTCATCTGTTTGTCATTACTGGTGTCATTTCCTGGTTGCTAACAAACGCCATTGTAACACATAATCACTGATGTTCCGCTGTAATGGTGGTGGACTCATCAGAACAGAGTGGGCGAGCTGACCAATCAGAGCACAGTGGGCTCACAGGAAGGGGGGGGGGCAGGAGCTCCAACAAGCCGTGTAGGACAGAGAGTGAATACACATACTACACAGAGATGCTGTATGAGAAACCAATGTGAGTTTGGAACATTGAACAATGTAAATCTATTCTAGTAGACCTCAACAATGGAATTATGATCAGTAGAAATGGCCATGACATGGGACCTTTAACAGAGCTCAGGTGTTAAGTAGTCTTATGGTCTGCCTGTGGGATGAAACTGTGCCTGAGTCTGGGGGTTTTAGTCCGGATGCTGCGGTACCGCCTGCCAGACGGTGGCAGGCAGAACAGTTTGTTGCTGGGGTGTGTTAATAATAATTTTCTGTTGACTCAAATTAGAACTGGGATGCAAATAAAAGTTGTTGTCAAAATTGTACATTTGTGACTTCAAGAAAACATTTGTAGGGGTTGTATGGGTTTTTCGTACAAATGTATTTATTTTTCATCTCATTTTTGTGTCTAAATGTATGAATTTATACTCAGTTTTTTCTTGTAAATGTATGATTTCAATCTAAGAGAATTTCATTTTTATTTCTTGCAAATATATGACTTTATAATCTCAGAATGTTTTTTTCTATAAATGTACCACTTAAAGGTGGGGTAGGTAAGTTTGAGAAACCGGCTCGAGATCGCTAGAATTTGAAAATACACAACCGGAGAAAATCTGCCACTTCCTTACAGAGCCCCTCCTCCAACACACACGAACGCGCACATGACCAATGAGGGCACGAGATAAGTTTGTGCACAGATGGAAGGCTGACAGGCAGGTAGGCCATCCAGTTATTTTAGCCGGGCCGGCTAAAATGATTGGTCGTGCTTTTTACAGTACTACTGCTTCCACAGATGACCTTTTTTTATGGATTTTTTGTCAAAGCACTTAAGATATTGATTGCTATCGGGATGTTAAGAGCATTCCATGGAATATAACAAAAAGTGTATCTCGAGCCGGTTTCTCAAACTTACCTACCCCACCTTTAAAATATCCTTGTTTATTTCCTGTTAATTAGCAAAAAAAATCTTTAGTCAGAGTTGATTGAAGATCATTTATGTTGATGTTTTTCTCGCACAATTTATGACATTATATTCTCAAATATTAGAGTGTTCTTCTTGTAGATTTAACCCTATTAAATACTTTATACTCAGAGAATTACCACTTGTTTTGAAATACATTTACTTTCAGATCTGTTTTTTGGATTTCTTTTCCCTTCCATGTCTTCCATTACATTTGTCTTTTCCATCATAGACTTAAGAGATGGTTATAAAACAGATAATAAACTGTTTCCCCCCCCTCATCAGTGTGTTTGTCCCCTGTGTGTGTTGCAGGATGCAGAGGCCATCTATCAGTGGCTGAGTGACTTCCAGCTGGAGCAGTACATCGGGAACTTCATCAATAACGGTTATGATGTTCCCACCATCAGCAGGATGACTCCGGAGGTGAATAAGGACGCTCTCTGGTGCTTCACAGTATAATAGGACCTGGTTAGCTGTGCAGCCTTCATCAGATGTCCTTTGTGTTGTTTTGTCCTCAGGACCTGACCGCCATCGGAGTGACCAAACCCGGACACCGCAAGAAAATCTCCATCGAGATCAACAACCTGAACATCCCCGAGTGGCTGCCGGAGTACATCCCAGTAAGAAACAAACAGCTTCCTGCTGCGTGACTTCCTCACCTTGTGACTGTATACTATGTATTATTAATGTTATAATGCTACTAAAGATCATTTTGAGGTACTTGTACTTTACATGAGTATTTTCATTTGATGCTACTTTGTACTTCTACTCCACTTCATTTATCTGGCAGCTTTAGTTACTTTACAAATTCAGTTTATTAGTGATACAAAATATAAATCGACTTATAAATAAACTTTGACATATAATTGTAGGTTAAGTAATTCAGCAACAGCAAATTAAGTCATTCAAATAAGCTCCACCTGTAATACATACCCATTCATATAATATATATGATTCTGAAATGGGATATTACCCTTAAGTCATTTTACAATTTAAATGTGCTACTTTAACTTTATTTTAAATGTTGTGTATACTGGTGTGTTCCTGATGCTGATACTGATGTGTTGCTCCTCTCAGTCGGACCTGGGTGAGTGGCTCAGTGCCATCGGCCTCCCCCAGTACCAAAGGAAGCTCTCTGAAAACGGCTACGACTCCATCAGCATCGTCAAAGACCTCACATGGGAGGATCTGCAGGAGATCGGCATCACCAAACTGGGTGAGGACACTTTTTATTCTGTCATGAACTCAATAGAGTATCTTTTGAGGTCTTATGGTCAGCAACGTGTGGTTGCTGAAAACAGTGTTTTCTTACTTTAATATGATGGTTGTATTTTCCCTCCAGGCCACCAAAAGAAACTGATGCTGGCGGTGAAGAAGCTGTGTGACATCTACCGAGCAATCCTCCAGGCGGAATCAGGCCAAGGCACGCTGCGTCGTAAAGGCCCCGGAGCCCTCCACCTGGTGGCCATCGAGCCGCCCGACTCTGCGGGGGAGTCTCCTCGCACCCCCAAGATGCTTACCTTCCAGGACAGCGAGCTGAGCGCCGAGCTGCAGAGCGCCATGTCCAGCCACTACGGAGGCTGCGAGGAAGGCCTGGCCTTCAAGAACGCAGTGGGGATGTCCCAGAGCCAGGAGAGCATGGACGCCCGGTCCAGAGGCTCCGGGCGCTCCCAGGAGCCCCCCACCGCCTCCATCAACCCCCACAGCTGGTCGCAGGAGAGCCTGGAGGGCAGCCCGGCCAGGGAGAGGAACCTCCCCGAGGGCTGGGACCAGCGGCCCCTGCAGCAGCAGACGCTGCCCAAGCAGGTTCCTCTGGGCACGGCCACCGTGTTCAAGTACCCGGCAATTCCAGCCAAGCCTAAACTGCCTGGGTCCCCTCGGGGCCCCTCCCCTCACGGCTCCCCAGCGCTGAAGGGTTTCAGCTACTTGCATTCTCACTGTGGCTCCACAGACTTGAGCTCGAGGCAGGAGAACTACAGCATGACATTGACACCCCCTAAAAAACGCGCCCAAACCCGCTACGCTCTGTCTGATGGGGAGCCAGACGAGGACGAGTACGAGCCGTCGAGTCGCTGTAGAAACCTGTCGTCCTACGCCACCTTGACCCGCAAACCGGGTCGCAGCCATCTGGCTCGATTGCAGTCGAGTCCAGAGAAGAACGGCAACGTGGGACGCAGCCAGTCCTTTGCGGTGCGTGCCCGTAAAAAAGGTCCCCCTCCTCCGCCTCCGAAGAGACTGAGCTCAGTGAGCAGCACCAACAGCGACGAGCTCAGCGACAGCAGCACCACGTCCTCTGTTGGCGGGGGGGTAACGGACAGCCCGGTGAGCGTGAGGAGCATCGCAGCCTCTCTGGAGGGCAGGACGGAGGGGAAAACCCCCAGCTCAGAGGAGGCTTCCCCTTCACACAGCGCTGCAGGGCAGGAGGCTGCGGGGGTGAGGAGGAGGGTGCAGAGCGAGTGTATTCCATCTCAGACCCACAGCGTCCCGGTGCCGGATGGGGGGGTGAAGTCTGACACGGAGGAGGAAGACTCAAAAGGCTGCAGGCTGGAGGGCTCCTCCTCCCCTCAGAACAGCTCCAGTGAGTGTATCCCCTTCGCAGAGGAGGGTAACTTGACTATCAAACAGAGACCTAAAGCCCCCGCTCCCCCCCGAGCTGAGGCGGTGCTGGAGCCCCCAGAGGCACAAGCAGCCAAGGACTCAGAGCTGCCAGAGTTTAACCTGAAGGAGTCGGACACGGTGAAGCGCCGGCACAAGCCAAAAGACAAGGAGCAAGGAGAAGGCTCCCCCAGCAGAGAGAGGCTGGATTCAGAGTCCTGCAGCAGCAGGCCCCCCTCCCAGTGCCAGGACCAGGACCAGCTCAGCCTGAGGATCAGTGAGGCCCGGCTGGAGAGGCCTGCCAGCCCGGCAACAGGATCCTCCATCAGACCTCCCCTCTCTCCCAAACCTGCCGTCGCCCCGAAGCCGGTCCGCCACAGTCTGCTGGCCGCACAGGGTAAGAGACAAACTAACCATAGGGATAAAGAATCCAAACCATTCAGTGGAAGGAACGTTCCTCTTGAGTGAAGTCGATTCTCAAGTAAGGACCTCCTGCTCAACTGAACCAAACTCTAAACAAACTCTATCAAACAGAGTCCAGTAAGCTTTTTGAATCCAACTTCATTTGACTTCATGCAGGTTTCATTTTTTCAGATAACAATTTTTTTATAATTCAATGCATCAACATCTCATTATTCCCCATATTTTGGAGGTTACATTTCTTGAATCATGTAAATCCCAACAATGTTTGGCTCTTTATGTTAGACTTGACTTGGGACTTGTTGCTCTTGATGTTGGACTTTTGGATTTCTAACTTTTGACTTTTGATTTAATTTGAGTTTGTTGCTTCTAAATAGATGTATGACTTTACTGCTGTTGATGTTGGGCTTAATTTGGGACTTGTGGAGTAAGACTCAACTTGGTACTTCTTGCACTTGACATTGGACATGATTCGGGACTCCATTTGTCTAGACTTGGGACTTGTAGGTTTGGAGTTAGGACTTGTTGCTCCTAATGTGGGACTTATATGGAACTTGTTTGGTTGGGGTTGATTTGTGACTTGTTGCTCTTGGTGTTAGACTTGAATTTAAACTTTAAGTTCTTGACTTAGACTTTTGTGTGTAGAGGGATTGTTGCTTTTGATTTAGTACTTAATGATCTTGACTTAGGCTCAATTTGTGACTTTATTTCTCTTAATTCTGGACTTGTGTGTGTACTGTTGAACATGTCAGTATTTGACCTGCCGTTGTCTCCTCAGCAGCGGGACTCTCCTCTCAATCTGTGACCATCAGTGTGGTTCAGAGTGTGGCCTTCACCTCTCCGTGCCCCCCCTCTCACGGGTCCCTGGCTCCGTGCTCCCCGGCCCGCCCGGCCCCTCAGAGCCCCTCTCTGGCAGCAGTGAGGCCTCAGGTGTGTGCGGTGGTTCCGGGTCCGGCACCCGACTCGTCCTCTGGGACTGAGGTGGTTCAGCAGAGACTGGATCAGACCAGCACGTCGCTGGCAGCCGCTCTGAAGGCCGTGGAGAGAAAACTGAACCTGGAAGAAAACTCCGAAGGGTAAGAAAGAGTCACTCCTGGGACTGTAAGGAAGGGATGAAGTGCAGCGAGCAGGTCATCATTGCAAAAGGAAACCTGACATATTGATTTCAATATGAACTGATTTAAAGATGATTGTATTGCTTCCACCAAGACAGAGTGTCTGTTGTAGAAGGAATGGTTCAAACTGTGGTGAAAGCACTTATCAATGTTGTCTGCCCTTTAACTTTCAATAACATGAGTTTCTGTAGAAAATATCAAAATAAAGACTTCATATTTCCAAAAGAAGAATTAGTATCTCAAAATAATATGATGACCCCACTCTGTCATCATGCCCAGATGGTTAAGTGGGAAAACCAGAGAACCTCTGGTTTAGCGTAGAGTACGGTTGGTCAAAATAATGTGGCTGCAGGCAGACAACGATGTGATGAATAACGTCATCTGCAGACCCTCGTGGATGCAGATAACATGAATTGGCCTGAAGGGGGCAGTAGAATGTAACGCTTCTTATATTTACATCTATTGTTTCTCACCAGGGGATCCAACCAGGTGAAGTCCGCAGGGACGATCCTGGACGACATCGGCAACATGTTCGACGACCTGGCCGACCAGCTGGACGCCATGTTGGACTGAAGACTTTCATCAAAGCCTCAACCTCAGGAAGTGAAGGAGTGTGGGTAAAAAGAACGTTTGACTCTGAACTACATGCTGAACGCAGTCCGAGGAGAACACCAGCACAGCTGTGCGTCTTTTGACTACGTCCTCCGCTGTGTCTCACACAATCTGGACTCAAGACTTTTGTGTCGTCGTGTTTTTTAACAGAAACTTTAACCAAGCAAAAGTTGGACCAGCGGTACTTCATCAGAAAGTCCGCCGCAAATGATTAAGGTTATTGTTAAACTAATGTTGTTACTCAAATATTTATCATTATGACATAATAGAGAGCTGAAGTCCCTTCTAGACTTTATTTCAAAAAGGTTTAATAGAAAATAAAAATGAACTATGCACGCAAAGGAAAGAAAAAGGTTTATTATTATTATTATTATTATGATAATGGCACATTAACTTAAATATATATACAAATAAAATAGGGGAAAATATCACAAAATAATTATAATAAACCTTGCCAAGGATAAAAAAAATTGACATTAGAACAAAGTTAATAAATAAGTACACAAATACGGAAGAGGATTAGGGTCATCTTTGGTTTGGTTCTGAGTTTTAAAGTCAGAATTCTGAATTATTTCTTTTACTGAAAATCTCAGAATTCTGTATTTGGTCTGGTGGCCTGAATCCTCTTCCTTACACAATTACTTAAAAATAATGGAACAAATCAAATCAATTGAATAATATTTTAAAAGAAACACACGCTTTCTGACTCGTGGAACACTTTGGCTCTCTATCCAACATGTCTGACCATTTCAAATGTTACCTTTTTGTAATATTTAAAAAAAAAACATTTCTTTTATACCAAGTGATCTTAACCGTGTGCGTTCGTCCTCCGTTCGTTTGTGTCGTTCAAACTGAAACCTGTAAAAGTGCTCGACCATGTTCACACAAAGGGAAGCATGTTCAGTGATATACAGACTATTTTTTGATATTCATTATAGCCAAATTAGTATTTAAATTAGAGTTATCTAAATATGTATATTGTACACTAGAGTTATATACAGGAGCAGATATTCAACCAAAGTCTTTGTACATATTTTCCTCAAATATTTTCACAAAAAGATGTTTATGAAGCGATATGTTCACGGTGCAGCCTGCAGCAGCGTCTGGATATTCAGCTCTATCTAAACATGATTCATTTGTGAAAGTGACAGTTAACTGGTGCGCGATCATGTGAATGAATGTGTGTGAATGCCATGCTTTGTGTGTGTTTTTATCTCGAGGCTCAGGAACATCCAGCAATGGAAAAAACTACAATAAATCCAATAAAGAAGAAAATAAATGTTGGCAGAGTCTCTGCAGCCTCCACATTCCTAAAATATGAATTTATTGTCTTCATAACAAACCAGAAACGTCCTGCTGGTGTTGATCTGTGGACGGTTGGATGGAGCAACAAAAGGGAAAAAGAGCAATTCTTTTTACTTTAATCATTTCTTTTCATTTTTCTTAATCATCCTTAGCAATTTCTTAAAGGTATAATACATATCTTCCACATTAAAATAACTAACAACGACTAAACACTTGAATTGTGTACTTCCATTATTCCATTATTTTTTTTTTTTAGATTTGTCATTTTAATAAAGGTAAGTTGTGTTTCATTCGACATATTAGGGCAAAAAATAAATACATTACATTTCAGAGGGGAGAGAGGTCATATCTTGGAAGCGTCCTAGATTCAATTAGTCAATTTAACATTTCAGTGAAAGGAAACTCTCACTTCCGTAATAGAAATTGTCAATTTAATTATTCGTAAAATAAATAACACATTTTCTAAATCTTCAATATATTATTTTGGGGAAAGAAAATATACATTTCCAAGATTGAATCCTGAAATGTAATATTTGGGAGGAAGAATTACACATTTATTTTAAAAAGTAATACCTTATGTGAATTATTTATTATTTTTAAATAGGCTTTTGAACCTGTCACAGCTCTACAGTAGCTTAAATATCAGACTGCATATTATTGGAGGTGTGTGTGTGTGTGGGTATGTGTGTGTGTGTTTTTTTATTTTGATATTCTCTGTCCTCCCTGGCTGTATTATGTTTAACCATTAAATGTCTGATGTTAACCTGCTTGTCTGACTCTTTTTTCTTTATTGACAAAGAATAATGTACAAATGCATATAAACCAGAACAAGAGAAGAACATGGGATCAAGAACACAATATTTGTTTGCTTCACTATATCCAGTTTTGCAAAAATAAACAGATATAAATGAAAAATTAAATGTGAAAAATGTATAAGATTAAAATAATTCTTTTTTATTTTGTGATTCTTCATCTTTATATTTCCACTTTTTTTTTTTACTTATTCATTTATTTATTTATTTTTGCGCGTTTAATTTACATGGGTTTTTGTGGGTTTTTTCTACTTTAAATAAAAAAGGAGTTTTAGTTATTATTTTATTTTTGTATTAGTTTCATCTTTCCATATTGGTTATTTACTTGATTATTTTTTTTAATATATTTCTCTTAATATTTCAACTTTTTATTTATTATTATATTTTTGGAAATCCTCATTTATTGTTTTATTTATTATTATTTTTTTATTTCCACAAGTATTTCTTTACTTATCTATTTGTATGTATTTGTTCCTATCGATATTTCCAAATTTCTTTTTTACACTTTTTGTTGCAGACGGGTTATTAAGTTCAGTTATATTTTGACTCACATTTGCACCATTCAATATAAGTGCATCCCCATAACTGTGCAGGTCCTGTGCATTAACAGAGTATCCATTTCCCTACGTAATTCAAGCTTTGTGTGGAGTGTTTAGATCAAATAGTCAGCCCTCTACAGTGACGCACCTCTGCCTCTGCAGCAGTCAGTCGGTAAATCACGTGACTTTTCCGGTAAGCACACACCCACCGCTCTCAGCTGTCTCCATGTTGCTCAGGAAGTCTCTCCAGTCTCTACACTGTTGCCGAGCCTTTCAGGAGCGAGGTAAGAACACTACCTTATGTCGCGAGCAGAACTCCGCTCGAAAATCTCCTATTTAAAACGTTCTTTCATATAGGCAAAGATAGATGCTTGATAGGAAATATTTTAAGATTTTTTTCTGATAGAGGAGAAGCCTCACTACAGATCGGCATGCATGTGATACTCCTAGCAGAATTAAATTGAACAAAATCTCAACTTTAACAACTGTTGTTACTCTATTTCCCTGTCTTCTTCTATAAAAATGACATAGGCGTCAAACAGTGAAGTTGAGCGTTTTTATACATTCAAATGCATATCTGATATTTTAGCTACTTTGTAGTTATCTTTATCTATGTACGCCGTATGAAACAGCTTCCTATTTATTCATAAATGGTTTTAATCCATGTTCTCAGGCGTAAACACTACCGAACACGGAAGTCAACGTTAAATGTCCAGGATTCGCAATGGAGATTTGGTGACAATTAGTCGGGGCGTTGAAATGATTACCAGGAAGTTGCTTGACGCAGTTCGCTACATAGCTGTGATAGTATATGAATAAGGTGTGTATATGGGAGTGGCTGTAAAATGCATTCCAGGCATATGTACTTTGTACTGTACAATGCAGTTTATGTTATGCAGACTGGGCCCCCTCCCATCTGAAACATTTTCCATCTTTGTTTGTGACAGTCTCCTTGTAATGATACCATGTTGGAAACATGACTCAGGCCCTAACCCTTTTTTACCTAATCTATCATTTAAACCATAATCCATAACACAATTGACAGTTAATCTCTCTGAGCAATGAACATGTGCAATACTTACTCATTTTCCATTGTAGTTTATTCAACTTAATACAGTTTAAATGTATTACTCTATAGTTTGTATATGTTTCCTATGGTGTTTTTCAAAGTCTTTTTTTTTTTGTCAAAAAGAAATCATCATATTGCAAAAGCTTTTTTAAGATGTTATCAAGTAAGACAACTAAAAATCAGCTAAGTAATATATATATATATATATATATATATATATATATATATATATATATATATATATATATAATTAAATGCATAATCAATAAAATATGATACAATTCTTAATATTACATTATGATAAAAAAAGTGTTAAGAAATAACAATAAAAAAAAGGACATTTATACTACTTAAATATTTAATAAAACAAAGAAAGTGATGAGAAAAAATTAAATAATACAACCTAAAAACAATTAAATCAATAAAAACTAAAAATGTTCAACTTAAAAACTGTACATACACAATTATAAAAAATGGAATAAAACTATGTCTTCTACTATTTTTCATGTCTGTAGATATTGCTTAACTTTTATTTATATATTGAAACAACATAACGTAATGAAATGAAATTGCTGCAGAATCACAGTGAGTGTTATTCTAAGCTGTGTGTTCAGTGAACGCCTCATTGTGTGTCGCAGGCGTGTCTCTGTACCGGAGCTTCATGCTTGACGTTTGAATAGAAAACTCATTTTTCATTTCTTCTTTAAAACTCACAAGGAGTTCTCTGTTCAGGTTTCTACAGTTGAACTCAGAAAGAACCCTAATCTCCAGCTCTTTTCTCCGAGTCATGTTTTTAAACTTTGACCTATACTGATTACTGCAGAGTCATGAGAAGTGCTCAATACAGAGCAGATAAACAGAAGAGCTACAGATACCTGAATAATGCTCTTAACAAAATAAAAATGATTATAACATAATTAAATATAATTAAATTATAAGAATAATATACATTATAATTGTTGTTAAAAAAATATATATATAATGGTACAACTTAAATTCAGTGGAAACACTTATTATTAAAATAACACAAAATAAAATCGTATGACTTAAAGGTGGGGTAGGTAAATTTGAGAAACCGGCTCTATATACACTTTTTGTTATATTCCATGGAATGCTCTTAACATCCCGATAGCAATGAATATATATATATAAGTGCTTTGACAAAAAATCCATAAAAAATGTCATCTGTGGAAGCCGTAGTACTGTAAAAAGCACGACCAATCATTTTAGCCGTGATGAAACGCCATATCATGGATTATCAAGGATTATTCTGAAACAGTATGGAGCTCAAAGGCTTTCTCTCTTGCCGGTTATACCACAAGGTGAGTTCCTTTTTACTTCCTGCTTCTTCACACACATGCTCTCCAGTACAGGTTAGCTCTGAGTGTTAGCGATGCTAATGTAAACACCGACCATATTACGTCCAAAACAGTCGGGCATTGTTTCTGATAGCAACTTTCTGATAGGGCCGTGGGTCCACATTTCAGATATTACATCATATCAGACGCAAATCTGGATCAGCTCCGTTGTACCCCCGTTTTTAGAGATTTGGGTACGGAGGAAAAGAGAGAGGGTTTTATTTTCAGAAGCTGTGTGAGTTCCCTGACACACCGGGGACACATCTTTATGTATAAAAGACATCAAAAAGTGCATTTTGCATGATAGGTCCCCTTTAAAGATTAAATTAAATTAGTGAGACCTTATTTCTTCGGACAGACATTAAGTGTTAAAAATACAAATACAAGTTAAATGAAATAAAAACAATTATTAATAGAATACAATATATTAAAATAAAATGTAAATACAATAGTTAAAAAAAATAACAAAAAATAAAATGTTGACATCTTAAATAAAATCCAATAAATTATTAACCTGTTAAGCCCTGAGCCTGTTTTTCAGGTTTCAGGCTCGAAAATGCCACTAACACAACAAAGACTATATCTTCACTTCTAAAAGGGGTAAATTAATAATCTTTTTTCTCAAAGCAAGGTTACATCTGTGAGTTGGATGTAGAAGTGTCAGAATCAATATAGATGTTTTTTATTTTAAAGTAAATTCATATGGAACATAGTAAAAACATGTAAATTCTATCTCCGCCTAAATAAAAAACATTACTTATAGTGAAAACCACCCTTGAATGATGGGTTAGTAGGCTAAAAGCTTTAGGAATCCAAACTATAACATATATTGATTGATGCAAAACAAGTTAAATCTGACCTTTTTAGAAAGGTTTAGAAAAATAAAGTCCAGGCGGACTCACCTCTGGGTAATTTGGGAACCATCAGTTCCATTTGACCTTTTTCACTGTAAAAATCATTTTATTACTTTGAATTATCCCTATAGGTATTCATTCCATCCAAATACAACTGTTGTAAAAAAAACAAATAAAAACAACAAAAACATACAAAATGAAGTTTGACTCCAACTGGAGCAGATTTATTTAAAACTTTACAATGTTACAATTTAGTCATGCCACTCCTCGTAACAATTATTTTTGGAAGTGAAGCACAGAGGGACCTGACACTTCCTGCAGTACACAGCTGTCTTCACCTTCTTTTTGCCAGCATCATGGCAGTTCCTGCAGTTCTTCCTGATACGGACATCTTTCCCATAAAACTTGGGCCCGCATGTGAGTGGTGGGGGGGGGGGGGGGTGTACACCAGTGACCTGCTGGGGTCACTCGTCATCTTTTGCAGCTCCTTGGGGAGTATGAAGCTGTTCACCACGGCAATGTCCATAAAATGGAGAAAAAAAAGTCTGGTGCAGATCTCTTTCTAGAAGTTGAGGAATGTGAGGGTGAGGCAGGTGTGGCAGGTGTGGGCTGGGTGAAAGTAGGCAATGGTGAAGCCATTTCATCCTCATCTCCATCACTATGAAAACAAATGTGGAAAAACAAAGAGATTATATTAATTCCTGTAATTCCTGTTTCCTTGGCAGTAAACATGCCATTTTGAGTGTGTGAATGCAATACATTTAGTGACTATAGATGAACACTGGCCTATACTTTTAGTAAATGTAACAGACAAGAAACACTATTTTTGTAAATAATCCCTCTAATTCCTGCCAAACATGCCATTTTGAGCGTACATTACATTACATTACATTTAGCAGACGCTTTTATTTACTATATGAATAATCGTACACCAAATAAATAAGTAATAGATAAAAACAGAGAGATTACATACCTTTCCCGTGGTGGAATTTCATCATCAGAGTCACAACGCTCCGGGTTCCGTTCTGGCTGCAGGAGATCCTCGTCGTCTGACTCAGAATCAACGGGTAACATATCTGCATCGCTGTCAGCATTAGTCACCATTTCCATTGCCTGTAAAGTCGTAAGCATCTCTTTCCTGCAAGCCATTATTTGACAAAAGTCAAAGTATAGCAAAAGTCCTAAACGCCAATCTTGTAATCTGCTCCGTTATCTGCTGTCCGCTCTGTGCGCTCTGGGTCCTGCTGCTGCAATTCCTGTTGTTTACGTACTAAACACGGCGTAGAGTCTGCTGCGTAATGGGTCTGCTGCTGGCATTCACACTTTATACTTTACGCAGGACCATATCTATGGAACCCATTGGTCGATTTGAGTGATTTACACCTTTTTCTTAACCATTAGATCCAATAGAATCCGATGGGCAGTTCCCAAATCCACGTAAACATTTTCATTGCATTTAATAGAGAAGCAAACGAAGCATATCTGAAAGTACAAGCCTTGACTGCAAAACTTTATACCCAGTTTATTGCCATAAATATGATGATGGATTATCAGTAAAAAATTCTACGTGACACAGACACATTGGATTAACCTTGAGTGGCGTTTTTATTCCATTGAACACAACTTTTGATCACAAATCAAAAAAGGTAAGATGTAATTATTGTAATATTTTTGAAACCGGATGTTGTTTACTTTCTCTTTTCTGGCTGAAAGCTCCGCAAATTCGGGGTCGTACAGTGATGACACTACATGTATGGAATCTGTGGAGTCTCAGCTTTAATCGGATATCTTGTTTGTGCAGTTACGATAAGTAATAAGGGCATTTTGAGAGTGAGTGCTGTGCAAAAGTCCGTTAGCATTTTTTCGCAAAATGCTAATTCAAAGGCTTGGTATTACTCTTGTGTTTCTTTTAGCTAAAAATGGTTCATATCTTCAGTTAGCTGAGATTCTTCCCGTTAATCTGGTGCTACACATTAATAGTTTCATAAATGTTAAGAAGCCCTGAGACATTGTCTAAAAAAAAAACAGTGGGAGGGGTCCAATGGGGGGACCGTCGTGCTTTACGAGGTTAATAAAATGCTTTTTAGGGATTTCCCTTTCCTGTAGTGTGTTTTATAGGTTTTAGTGCATGTAAATGGTTCGCAAAGTCTAAAATCCCTGTGTTCCCTCCAGAGGGAGTTTCTCCCCCTCCCCCCCCTGCTTGAAACGCCTCCATTCCTTTGTTTACTTATGTAACATAGTGACATCACTATGTAACACTGACCCTTCTATTGCTCCAACACATTGTATATGATAGACTAAGAGGCGGGACATCTCTAAGCGGTTGGCCAATCACAACAGAGCCGGCCAGCTCTGGATGAGGGTGAAAAGAGGTGCTGCAGTATGAGAAGAATAAAGAGCTTTTTGAACATTAAAGCATGGAGACATGTCACAGTAGAGACATTACATACTGATATGACCCTGAAAATGAGCATAAAAGGGCCCCTTTAAATACCAAAATACGATTCATTTAACATTTAAAATAAGTGAGATCTTAATATATCAAGAGCAGCTGAACCTCGTGTTAAAAGGAGCATTTTCAGAGAGCTGTGAACTGTTTTCCCTTTAACATTATTATCAACACTCCACTCGTCTCTGCAGCATCTAGTTGGGATCATGTCTAAGAAGGGAGGAAACCAAAGGCCGGAGATGGAGGGTTCGGTGGAGGCGTCCATCATCCGCATCCCCCCCCATCACTACATCCACGTGCTGGACCAGAACACCAACATCGCCCGGGTGGAGATCGGACCGCTCACCTACATCCGCCAGGACAACGAGAGGTCAGATGACTACTGTCATCAAAACACAGCAAATAAAACAGAAACATAGTTATAATCCTTATTATAATTTAAAATATATATATATTATTAATAGTTGTGACATTTATGAACAGAGAACATTGCAGAAATTTAAAAAAGTGAACCTTTTACAATAAAGAGTCTGAAACAATGGTGTAGCTATAATAATAATAATATAAATTATCTTATTAATTCTACTACTAAAATTACAAATACTAATAATAACACAATAATAATACTCAGAAAAATAGAACTGCAAATTATACTAGTACAGTACAGTCAATAATACTTATACTACTTATAATACAAATAATAATAATACAACTTATAATAATACGGATTCCAAAAACTGAATCCAATACAAATAAAGAATAATAAAATATATGATAAGCTTTTAAAATATGAAGTGAATAGAAATGTTAATTATCCATTATCCGTTTTAATGGCAGTTGTGTTTCCTGCTGTTTATAATGGATGTGTAGTAACGGTGCCCCCCCCCTCCCCTCTGCAGGGTGCTGTTCATGCCGGTGCGGATGGTGATGGTGCCGCCGCGTCACTACTGTGTGGTCCTCAACCCCGTCGCCCGCGACGATGACAATCAGGTGCTCTTCGACCAATCAGGGCAGGCCAAGCTTCGCCACGCCGACCTGGAGATCCGCCTCACCCAGGACCCCTTCCCCCTGTACCCGGGGGAGGAGGTGCAGCAGGTCAGATACTTGACCCTATAAGTCAAAAAATACAATTGTTATTATGATTTTTAGTAAAACACAATTGCTATGTAACAATTATGACATATTTCACCTATTTTACACATTTGACAAATGTAATATATTTAAAGAAATGTAATTATCTAACATATTTGACATGTGTAATATACATTATGTCAAATAATGCATTGCATTTACAACAAAATAAACGTATTTAAAATCTTTGAAATGTTAATATATTTGATGTTTAACATACCCGACATATTTATGGTATTTGATTTAATATATTAAAATGTTTAACATTTCTAAAATATGTTAAATATTTGACCTTTTTAAGAATATTTAGAATGTATTACAAAATGAACAAATTATAAATATTGGACATATATAAGATATCTGGCCTGTTTTAGATTAAAAAAAAGTTTCCATGTTTCAAATACTAGACATATTTTCCATGTTCAACACAATATTTGAATTCTTTTTAAAATAGTTAACATATTTAAAGTATTTAAAGTATTTTTTTAAGTATTAAAAACATATTACACACGTATGACGCGGTGTGTGTGTGTGTGTGTGTTCCAGGACGTGACCCCGCTGCAGATCGTGTTCCCCGACACGGCGCTGCGTCTGCAGGCTCTGCTCGACTTCGAGGAGGAACGTGGGCAGAAGAGAGTGGCCGGAGACGAGTGGCTGTTCGAAGGACCAGGTGGGGTTCAGCAAACACTATTAAACTTTAAATACATAGACCTAATAATATTACAAAATAAGGAAATATTCTGTTCAGGTGTTGTATTCAGTGTCGCTGACGTGAGTTACAACATTTTTATACGACATTATCTGATGTTTGGTGACCGATAGTGTTTCACAAAATTAAACTTATTTGTGTGTGTGTGTGTGTCAGGGACCTACATCCCCAGGAAGGAGGTGGCCGTGTTGGAGACCATCAAGGCGACGGTGATCCGGGAGAACCAGGCCATCAGACTGAGGGCCCGCAAGGAGGGCGTGGACCGCGGGGGGGTCCGCAGGGTCACAGGTGACTCAGACACAACGTCCTATACCACACTCTTTGACTTCTTTCACAGTTAGCTTTAGCAAAGACAAAGACTTTATTTGTGCTGAAAATCTTGGTGACAGACGCTATCAGAAACACATACTTTCAGTAGTTTAATGAATAGATATTTTATCACAGGTTTTTATTATTATTATTATTATTATTATTATTATATGTCTTTATTGAACAAGGATCATGCATACAAATCCGTTAATGATGCTATATGCCATTTCCTATCACACTAACAATTAAAACGGATCAAAAAACAGATGTATAAAATATAAATAGTGGTACATCCGTCAATTCAAATATAATTGTATAATTCATTTAAACCAACATCTCACATTAAAGTAAAGTTATTGTTTGTAAGACTGGTTGCGCAAAATAAAAATGTTTGCACTATGGGAACAAAGATGTGAAAATGTGAACACGGTGTGCAAATGTAGTGCGCCTTAGTGGGATTCTGTGGTAATGTTGCATCTCACTTTCACAAACAAAAAATAGTGATATAAACTGGTTTTAGATTTGAGATGTATTCAAAGTCATGTTTATTTGTGTATCATCATAATAATAAGCTGTGTTCCAGGTGAGGAGTGGCTGGTCAGTAAGGTGGGGGCGTACCTGCCAGGAGCTCACGAGGAGGTCCTCGACATCGTCAATGCTTTCATCCTGACCGACAAGGTGACGTCAAAATCTGCAGCTCTCACATTCACACTGACAAATCTAAAATGTATTTGATTAAAAAAAAGTAAAGAACCAAAAAGTACTCTGCACAAAAATACATGTTTTAGTATTATATATTTTAACTATTGATGCATTAACTTGTTTAACACTGTAATGTTGCAGCTGATAAAGTAGGAGCCTAATGTCATTACTTTTTTTACCGCTGGGTAGCTTGATCTATAATAAAACATCACTTATCAATATTTTATATTAATAATCTGAATCATCAATGATATAAATATACTGGAGGAAAAATTAAAGTATAAAATAGGATTCACACACAATAAATAGACAGATTTGAACTGATTTGAAATCAGGCGTTTGTGATTTTGATATTAAATGTTGGGGATTTTTTTTAAATCAGGTGTTTGTGATTTTGGAATCAGGAATTTGTGATTTTGAAATAAGCTGTTGGTGATTTTTAACATCAGGTGCATGTGATTTTAAAATCCAGTGTTAGTGATGTTGAAGTCAGGTGTTTGTGATTGTAACTCACCTGTGATAACTCTTCACTGGTGGTGTGTTTGTGTGTCCTCAGAAAGCGCTCCATGTGCGCGCCCTGCGGCCCTTTAAGGACGCGGGGGGGCGGGACCGGCGCACGGGGGAGGAGTGGCTGGTGACCATGGCCGACAGGGAGGCCCACATCCCGTCCGTATCGGAGGAGGTGGTGGGGGTGGTGGACGTGACCACTCTGAGCAGCAGGCACTACTGCGTCATCCTGGACCCCGTCGGCCATGACGGGAAACCCCAGCTGGGGCAGAAGAGAGTGGTGAAGGTGAGGAGGACCTCCACGGATTGCTCTGACAAATAATACAAAGTCTTTATCCATAAGTGTTACTAATTAGTTTCATAAATAACATGGGTGTACACATGAATACAAACATTTTCAAAATGATATGATAAAAAGAAATAGGATAATATAATTACAACAATTAACAAAAAAGATATTGCATAGGTCTATTTGTTTTATGTACATTATAATAGTTGTATTCAGCCGTTATATATTATTAATGATTTATTATTATTTATTTATTTAATTTAGCAAAAAGCACATACATTTTAGGAATATTAAAAAAACAATTATATAAATTATTTGCGAAGGTGATTAACTCAAGGTTTTTATTTTGTCTACCAAATTATAAAAATGATATCCCAGATCATGGCAAATGGGACAAAATGAATCAAAATAAACATATAGAAAGGTTAGTTTGCTACACGGTATATTTTTTGCAATAATCCCAAATCCAACGGCAAAATCCCATTTGAGCGAAGCTAGCTTCAGGGTCGGAATACAACAACATGTCATCTCTACAGCTCTCTGTTAATTGGTCATTATCTGTATCGTCTTTCTTCTTCTCCATCAGGGTGAGCGCTCATTCTTCCTGCAGCCGGGCGAGCGACTTGAACTGGGCATCCAGGACGTGTATGTGCTGTCGGAGGAGGAGGGGCTGGTGCTGAGAGCGGTGGAGGCGTTCAATGACACCCTGGAGGTGAGGGCAGAAATCACTCGTATCCAGAAGTAGAACTGCAGTGTATAAATACTTGATTACAAGTCCTGCATTCAAAATGTTACTTCTGCAAAAGTAGAAAAGTATGAGCATCAACTATGTTCTTTATGTAGCAAAGTGAAAATACTCTTAATGTAGTATGGCCATTTCATAATAGTGTATATTTTGTATTATTATATAATAACTACAGCTGCATTGATGTGCTTTCACTTTAATTTAGCAGCTGCTAAAAGTTGAGCTAACGTTAACAATTGTATTATATTAGTCGATAATTATAATGAATTATAATTCATTATAATTATTAAATAAAAATCATAATAATAACCTCCAAATTATCTAGAACCTAATATCATCAAATAAATTAAGTGGAGTCAAAAGTAAAATATTTGCCTATAACATTTTGTGGGGTAAAAGTAAAAGTAACATGATGTGAAAATACTGATTTTAACTTTAGTAAACGACTTGAGTAAATGCACTTTTACACAAGTTTATATTCAAGCACTGCACTGTAATGATGCTTCAAATGAAAAATAATCAATTGAAGTTCACATAGGTAGATGCGTTTGATTTTTGGATTGATGATATTTAGTGTATTCATATTAATAATGATGTTTATTCTGAAAACCAGATTATTGCTTAAAAAGTACAGTAATACTGTATATCTAAATGATCCTAATCCACAGTAGAATAAATAGATAACGCAGTATTGAACATTTGAATGTAGTGTATGGGAGGTATCTACAGATATGTGTTCATATATTTTGCAAATGTGTTTCTTCAACTTGAGAATCACCTCCCCCGTGTCAGAAGTTTCTCTGAGGGAGTGCAGAGGAATGTAGGGAGGGGGTCTGAGGGTTTGTGAAGCTTGTCTTGTGCAACCGGTTGATTTCAGAAAAGCGATAAGAAAAACAAACACAGAGGTATGTCGGGATTAGAGACTTACTGCAGATGCTTTCAGCTGGTGCGAGGTGAAGAGTCAGAGGTGTGTCTCTGCCCGCCGTGGTTCAAGGTTCAAAGTCTTTTGCAGCTTGCCTCACATCACTGATTGGTGTATTAGGGGTGTGTGTAAAAGAGAGGTGAAGAAACACCAGATTACATTTATTGTTGAGCAGGTAGATATTTGCTTTGGCCTATAATGGTGCATCAAAAGGAAAAGAGTGGTGCAGTTCTGACTTACTACTGTAGGCTAACCCTGAAGTTAGCATCGCCATGGTTCCCTTCACAGAACGCTAATAGGGTTTATGATACTTACACGTGTTGCTCAGCAGGATCATCTCCACATATAATACCCCTTTTTAGATTTCTTTAAGCGTCAATGCAATATCGAGAAGTAAAAAAGCGAACTAGCTAAACGCTAATAGGCTATAAAGGAACTGCAACGAGGCTGCATGCGGTCACCACCAACTCTGCTAAGCTAAAGGCGGCGTTTAGACACTTCTTGTCACCTTTTTTCAGACACTTCATATACTAACCAGTGAGGTATTTACTGATGCATTTGATGTCGTATTTCCACAGCATTAACCCTTTGCAAGCATGTTTCCACTTCTTTATTTACTCAAGTAGTGTACTTGAGCACCATTTTGAGATACCTTACTTGAGTATTTACATTTTTCACTACTCCACTACAATTCAGAGGTAAATGGTGTACTTTTACTCCACTACATTTATTGAAGATGTGGATGAATGGTGTGAAATATAATCAAGTGTTAAATCAGACTTTAGTTCCACCTGGAGTAAATTCACAAGCTACCCTGCAGTATACAAAGTCATTCAAACTAGCTGCACCTTTACCAGCTTTGAGAACACTTTCATGATCAATCATTATAAAACATATCATATATATTATTCTGAAATGGACCAATCTGCACAACGACTACTTTTACTGTCGCTACTTTAACTATATTTTGATGATAATACTTTTCTACTTTTACTTGAGTAACATTTTGAATGCAGGACTTTTACTGGAACAGAGTATTCCTACACTCTGGTACTTCTACTTTTACTCAAGTACAAGATCTGAGTACTTCTACTTTTACTCAAGTACAAGATCTGAGTACTTCTACTTTTACTCAAGTACAAGACCCGAGTACTTCTACTTTTACTCAAGTACAAGACCCGAGTACTTCTACTTTTACTCAAATACAAGACCCGAGTACTTCTACTTTTACTCAAGTACAAGATCTGAGTACTTCTACTTTTACTCAAGTACAAGATCTGAGTACTTCTACTTTTACTCAAGTACAAGACCCGAGTACTTCTACTTTTACTCAAGTACAAGACCCGAGTACTTCTACTTTTACTCAAGTACAAGATCTGAGTACTTCTACTTTTACTCAAGTAGAAGATCTGAGTACTTCTACTTTTACTCAAGTAGAAGATCTGAGTACTTCTTCCAGCTCTGCCTCTACTGCACCATCTTCCCCTCCTAACCTTTATACCCCCACTCTCTTCTCCTTCTCTCTTCTCTTTGTTTTAAACCCTACCATTCCACTTTCTCCAACCTTTACGTTTTCCTCCGCCTTTCGAAATATTTTGCACTTTGGGTTTCTCTCAGTTCCCCTCTCCCGTCCCTTCCTCTCCTCCTCATCCTCCCTCTCCTCCTCATCCTCCCTCTCCTCCAACTCCCCCACCACTCCAATGCATCGCCACGTTAACCCTTCTCTCCCTCCTCCACTTCTCTCTCGCCCGTTCTCTCTGCCAGCGCGATGAGGAAGAAGAAGAAGAGGAGGAGGAAGAGCAGGAAGAGAGGGCGAAGCGCTCGCGGAGGAGCGCCGTGCTCCGCCGCCCCGGGGACCGCTGGATGCTGCGGGGCCCCATCGAGTACGTCCCCCCCGCCACGGTGGAGGTGATGGTGAGACGACAGGCCATCCCATTGGACGAGAACGAGGGCATCTACGTCCGGGACATCAAGACCGGAAAGGTACGAGTCTTTAAAGGAGCAGACCGCCATTTATTACGGTTCTTTTCTCTTCATTGAGTCCCAATTATTAAGATAATATTAGATGAATCTTTATTAATCCCTGTATGGTAATCTGTTCACCCGTCAGGTGTCAGAGCAGCAACAGCAATAAGAAAGAAAGACAGATAGTAAGAACAGTATGAATAAAACAACAGATGATTGTACCTATTATGTAGTTATGAATACATGTATGTACATGTTTTGCCTTCAGATGAACCCTGAACTGGAAGGCAGGAAATCAATACAGAACATTTCAATTATCCTAATTTGAATATCCCAACCAAACTGCGCAATTTTGTCTTAGGTTAATCAATTATTGATTTGTTATTTTCCTAAGGTTTATTAGTAGATATTAAATTATTCAGTTTTGCTGACAAACCATACAAAAACATTAAGTGTATTGTCAAAGCTAGTAGGGAGTGCAGACCTCCGTAAATTTAAACAATGAATTTGTCCGCATCACAATTTGGATCCTCTACACTTTTGAATGGCTTCTTTCTGAGCCTGAAATGATATTTTAAAATTCACACTTGATTAACACACTTGAGATTTAAAACATATGTTGGTGTTTCATTTTCTCCTTTTATTCAAGATTACCTTAAACGTTTTTTAAACAGAAAGCAAATATCTTGGATAGATAATGATTAGTATACATATGAAACAATATTTAAATCAAGCCATCTTAACTGAAAGAACATCAGGTGTGAATTGAAATCAAACACTTCTATACAAGATATTAAGTCAAATCTGATCTATAGGAGCACATGTCATGTGAATCAGGTCACAAGTTCTTTGTATTCCTGCAGACAGATAACAAACTAATTGAAACATCACCTTAATGGATTTACTGACACGTTGCCGTGTGTGTTGCTGCCTCTCAGGTGCGTGCAGTGATTGGTCAGACCTACATGCTGACTCAGGATGAGGAGCTGTGGCAGAAGGAGCTTCCTGCCAACGTGGAGGCCCTGCTGGCATCTCCTCTGGACCCGGTGGCCGACCGCTCGGACCGCAGCAAGACGGGAGTCAGCCGGCCCCGGGACAAGACCCGGGTGGTGTCCTTCAGGGTGCCCCACAACGCCGCCGTGCAGGTCTACGACTACAGGGAGAAGAAGGCCAGGTGGGACTTCCTGACATCCTGATTTGTTATGATTTATGAAATATATGATTTTAATTTCAAATAATATTTGAATTCTCCTAGTAAATTTAACACTTTATCGTCAGAGAATATTTAAGTTTTTTCTTGTTAATTTACAACTTAAATCTCAGAGAATACCAATTTGTTCTTGTAACTGTACTAAATTATATTTAGAGAATATTTGAGTTTTACTTATAAAAAATTAAGATTTTATTTCTTAACAGATAGAAATACATTTAAATCAACACTTTAATCTAAGAGAATATTCAAGGTTTTTCACATTAATTAACCACTTTAATCTTGGAGAATATCCAATTTAATCTCGTAATTTTTTTTGGTTTAATTTCTGAGAATACATTTTGGCTTTAATCTTAGAGAATATCCTTTTTTCATGAATTTATGTAACAAATTAAATATTTGTTTCTGTGCAAAGAGGTTTAAAATCCCACAAAATTCAGTCTAAATCTTGAGTTTAAACTGGGATGTGCTATATCTAAAAAGTATACGAAATGTGCACAATCCATATTCTAGTTCATTTTTTAAATATCACTGCCATCCCTGATCTCCTCCCTAAGTAATGTGGTGATCTGACGTGGTGTCGGTGTTGTGTTCAGGGTGCTGTTCGGACCGGAGATGGTGATGTTGGGACCTGACGAGCAGTTCACGGTGCTGTCGCTGTCCGGAGACAAACCAAAGAGGGCCAACGTCATCAAGGCCGTCTGCCTGCTGCTGGGGCCCGACTTCTTCACCGACATCATTACCATCGAGACGGCCGACCACGCCCGCCTGCAGCTGCAGCTCTCCTACAACTGGTAACCGCAACACGCCCATTAGTTCTGCACTGATACAGAGGTAGCATCTCTCCGCTTCCATCCACAAAAAAAACAATGGCATTTTCCATTGGATTTTGGATTATTGCAGAAAATAAAAGATGTGGTAAACAACAATTTATGACATGATATGATATATTTTCAGCAGCACGTATTCACACCACTTTATGATTTTTGAAGCATGAATGCAAACTCCAGAAGTAAAAAGCTACCGTTAGCCTATAAAGGAACTACAGCACGGTCACATGACTTCATGTCCCCACCGCTAAGCTAAAGGTGGCTAAGTAATTAGAGAATATTTAAGTTTTTACTAATTCCTTTACCACTTAAATTTTTTTTAATCTTTTAATATCCAAATATCCCAGTGTTAAGAGGATATTTTTAGGGTTTAGAAGTAGTTGAGGTTATTTTTCTCGTAAAATGATAACTTATCGCAGAGAATATACATTTGTATTAGAAATGTACGACTTTAATTGCAGACAATATTCAACTTTTTTTTAAACTGTCATCTCAAAATATCCAAGTTTTCTCCTCATTAATCTACCATATTCTTCATCTCAAAGAATATGCTTGGTTTTCTTAATGACTTTATTCTCAGAATATCAAAAAATGGGCTCTAAAATGTACAAATATAATCTCCTAGAATGATTTAGATGTTGTCTTAATTGGTATATTAAATTCCCCTCCTGTTGTCCCTCTTCAGGAACTTTGATGTGAAGCGCCCGGTGAGCCTTGAGGATTCAGTCGCTCTGTTTTCTGTCCCTGATTTTGTCGGAGATTCCTGCAAAGCCATCGCCTCCCGCGTCAGAGGAGCCGTTGCCTCCGTGCAGTTCGACGATTTCCACAAGGTTCCTATTTCACCAGCTCAAATGAAAATGATTGCCATTATTCCTATCCTATGTCAACATCGGGTTTTTCCGGAGGGATGAACCCCTCTTTAATGGTCACACATGCAGAGCACACAGCACACACAGTGACATGGGTTCTCTGCTTTTAACCCATCCTAGTACCTAACATTACTAATATTCATTTTAAATAATGATGTTGATCATTAATTAAAATGATCAACATCATTATACATACATTAACAATATTAATATAATTATTAACATTATTACTAATACAAGTATAGTTTGAACTTTAATATAAATACATTAACTTTATTGAATTATTATTGAAAATACCATTACATTCAAGTTTTTTGAAATATTTGAAGAGAAAAATGAAAATCTGGATTGAGCAAATTGAGTTGAGTTTAATTTATAACAAAATAAAATATTTTGATGAATTCTTTATATAATTTTATTCAAAAATATTCATTTGTAAAGTACCTAAAGTTGTCTGACATGAAATCCCAAAACTACCCCAGATGAAGTACAGTGTTTAGTTCACTTTAATTATTTGAATTCAGAGATCTTTTAAATCTTCGTTGTCAATCTAAACTCTTACTGCAGAACTCCAACCGGATCATCTGCTCGGCGGTGTTTGGTTTCGATGAGAAGATGGCGGTGCGCTCCACCCTCCGCTTCACGCAGAACAAGCTGGTGATCAGCAGCGTGGACATCCAGTCCGTGGAGCCGGTGGACCAGAGGACCCGCGACTCACTGCAGAAGAGCGTCCAGCTCGCCATCGAGATCACCACCAACTCCCAGGAGGCGGCCGCACGGTCAGCCAGATCCTGAATACACATTTTAAATAACAATCAAATCAAATAAAAAAAAAAAAATTGTAAAAAAATTAGGCTACTCAAAATAATTAAACAGATTAAAGGGATAATATAATGTTTATATTTATTTAGTACATTTAATGTATGTTATTTTATTTATTTATTTTAACAGCTTCCCTTTTCCTGGTTGTTTTGAGATGGCTTTTAGTGTTCAGAGAAGTTTGCTATAAGATTAGATGCCATAACTGTGCTTCATTTGAAAATATGTTCATCTTTTTTATTTTTGAAAGATGAATTTCAACTTTTTTTTTTTTAACTAGCACAAATTGGACATAGTAAGGCAAAAATAATCTAGAGTATATTAACTATATAAAAAGGCCTTTTAAAGCAGTTTATTGCAAAATTCATAATTAGTTTTCACACTACAGGTTAAGGTAAAACATATACCTCAGAGATATCACCATTAAACCCCAGGAGGATACATTTCACATAAAACAATATATTTTTTTGTATTACAAGTTTTCTGAAATGTTTTGTTTAAATATGCAAATGATGTATTATGTAATGCTAACTTTTGGTGAATTTAGGATAAATCTATAGACACAAATACACAGAGTTTGTAAAATAAACTCCTAGATGTGTATTTTAGATACTTTCTTTCCTTTGGTCTGACCTGCTAACTAAAATGTGTTTGTGTTTTGCAGCCACGAGGCGGAGCGGCTGGAGCAGGAGGCCCGTGGTAAACTGGAGAGGCAGAGGATCACTGACCAGGCCCAGGCGGAGAGAGCCAGGAGGGAGCTGCTGGAGCTGGAGGCCCTCAGGTATTATTCTAGTTATGACACAGAAAGTACAATCAAGCAAATTAGAAAAGTTGTCAAGAGCAGTGAAGGGAAGACATATTTTTCAAGTCCAACCCTGAAGTTAGCATCTTCCTGGTTCCCTCCAAAAAAAAGCCAATGGGATTTTTGGATTATTTCAGAAAACAATCTTTCCGAGAAACACACTTTTAATATACTTACACGTTTTGTTCATCAGGATAATCTCCCCATTTTAACACAACGTTTCACATTTTTGATAAAGATTAGACAATAAAGGAACTACAGCAAGGTCACATCACCTTCGCTAAGCTAAAGGTGGCTAATGTTCTGCGTGATGAGTTTTAGTTGTCTCTTTTAGCTAGTGTTAGCTACCGCCGTTTTTAAGAAGCATATCATCTTCAGGAATGTATGTGGTTTTAACTGACCTATTTTTATGCTGTGGGATGAAATGTTAAAATCTCTTAAACTTCGGTTAACAACTGAGCTTATTTGCGGCATCTTACCAAAAACACATTCAAAAAACCCATTGACTTCTAGAAAAGGAAACAGGAAGTGCTTATATACTAACTCATTTCTGCGTTTACAGTTATAGAATAACAGTAATACTACTAATAATATTACTACAGGATAGCACTATTACAGAAATAGTACTATCTTGTTTTTAAATCTCCTTATACGTTTAGGCTTAATACCTGGGTTATTGATTTGTTTGTGTTGTAAAGCAGTCTGAGCTGCTATAAAAATACAGTTTTCTTATATGCCTGTAATGTAGTATTTCTACACTGTGGTATTACAGGAGTAAAGTACTCTGATTACTTTGTTGTTAACCCTGTGGTTGTGTTTCAGTGCTGCGGTGGAGAGCACCGGCGCTGCGAAGGCGGAGGCTCAGTCCCGGGCGGAGGCGGCCCGCATCCACGGCGAGGCGGCAGTCAACGAGGCCAAACTGAAGGCGGAGGCTCAGACCATCGAGGCGGTGCGCACTCACTTCCTGTCTCCCCTTTCACAATAAAACTCACCACACAACAGTGGAGGAATAAGTACTATCTTCACAAACTATGAAAATACAATGTAGAACAGTGACGTGCGGTGAGGTTCATGGCTGGTGAGGCACTGAGTCAGATTTACAAATATTATATTTTGACCTTAATCGAAATATTCGGTTATTTTCAAAAGCTTTTTTAGTCTGATGCTTCGATTCATTTTAAACAGACCGTTCAACAAAAGTATACCCAAAATCCCCATTTTCATTACAAATGTGGTCTTACCTTGACTTGAAGATGAAGTCCATGCTATCCTTCTGGACAACAATCTCTATTACTTTTTTGTAAAAGTCCTCCTTATCTTCCTGTAGTTTCAAAAGTCTAGTTTGTTGTTACGTCTACCGTCTCTGCGTAGAATTACAGTAGCAACAAGAACCTGTGGGCTCACGTGCGCCCCCTTCAGTGCGGCAGAGGTTATGGCTGCCTCCCCTGGTGCATTTTCATTGCCGTTGATACCAGCGAGCCTAAATATCATATATACGTGAAATAAGTTATTTAGAGACTATGGATGGCGAGGATAAATGTAATAAAGGGATCTACAAACATTACATTGGTGACCTACAGTGAGATGGTAACAGGCATGCACTTAGGGCCCGCTTTCCAGCCAGTTTCTGTGGGGTGACGCATTCTGAGGTGAGGCAGATCTCATCTGTGCCTCACCTCACCCCACAGTAAATGGCTTGAGCGCGCTCACAAAATAAGTGCCCGCGCTGCATTAGTGCCCGCGCTCCAGCAAGTTACTGTGGGCTTACGAGAGGCAGAGCACGCCCCTGCCTCACTTGTCATCGCTCCCGTAGCGGAGCTCGGCAAATTTGCTGATTTTGACTATAAAAAGCGATTAGAATCATACATAAATCACACTTACAACACAGTGGAGACATTTTATTATTATTACTATTTCGTTTTTCTTTAGTTGTTTTTCCGTTACATTGGAGTATGACAGGTGAGGCTCTGCCTCCCCTGCCTCCACTGACTGCACGTCACTGATGTAGAAGTACTCTTTACTTTGCATATTTACTACTCTTTCTGCATTCCACTTATACGGAAGAGGATTGGGGCCACGTGTGTTTTTTTAGTGCTATGGCAGTTAGTAGATAGTATTCTGAGGAAAATGTCAGAAAAAATAGATCTGAATTTTGACTTTTTTCTCAGAATTCTGAGATTAAAGTCAGAATTTCGATAAATAATATATAATTATAAATATATTATTATAGGTTAAGATGAAAGACAGACACAAATATCAAGCCAGAAGTTAATACAAACACAAATCTTCACTAGTCATTCAAAGAAGTCATGTTATGGATGCGAAATCAGTGCATGAAAAAAAAGATGCAGTCATGACTGCATCTACAACCAGAACACTGGTCTTTTATCACAGAAAGAAACATTAATCTGTGTGTGTGTTGTGTGTTGTGTGTATGTGTAGGAGGCGGAGCTGCTGCGGCTGTCCCATGCCCGTGAGCAGGAGCTGAACTACAAGAAGCGGATGGATGCTCTGGAGGTGGACAAGCAGAAGAGTATGGCTAACATCGAGAGCGAGCGCTTCAGTCAGTTGGTGCAGAGTCTGGGCAGCGACACGCTCAAGGAGATGGCCAGGGCCGGTCCAGAGCTGCAGGTACTACTGCTACTACTGCTACTACTACTACTGCTACTACTGCTACTACTACTACTACTACTATATCAGAATTCCTTTTATTTGTCCCACAACGAGGACATTAACATTATTGCAACAGCAGAAGTATAGTGCAGATAAAGTAAAGAGAATAGACTCAAATATTTAAAAATGTTTTTTTTTAAATAACAAAGTAGGCACATGTTATTAATAATAACCAACCCAATAAGTAAAAATAGCATATACATACACGATGGTAAAAACCTAAGTTGCAGTGAAGTGAACAAATTAAATTAAACGGTAGCTGGTACTGTTGACACACATGTGAATTACACATGTCTGTATATTGCAACAAGTTTTTTGTACACCACAAAACGTTATCATGCTCCACAACCAAAGCTTCACCCCCACGTAAAGACACATTCAATTCCACCGCAAATGTATTGCGTGTATATAACATGCCTTTTTTATATAAAGATGCACTCCATGTCTTTGTTAAGGCTCCCACTAAACCTGCACCTTATGTGCGCCCTATGTAGCTCTGTAGCAACACCAGGCAACTACTTGCACGCATAGATTTATATAATTATTTACTATATTTATTTATAATTTGAGTGCTATTTTGAATGCACTTAGTATTATCTGAGGACCTTCAGTAAGTTCTAAGGAGTCATCTGTGATCTTAATGCGAGTAAAAAGTAAAGGTTTCACATCAAATGACCTCTCATATTTCTCCGAACGTAGAGTTCATGTGTAATGTTAGTCCTGTGCAAATCGGCAACCCTTTCATTACATTTTTCCCAAGGTTTTTTGTTTTTTTGAAGCCTTTTTCTCTGTCCAGAATAATTGTTGGCTGCTTTGGTAAACATAAAGGAAGTGTCTGATAGCATTTTGTAAGTACATTTAGGCGAATTTAGACAACTTTCATAACTTATATCATAACATTTTTCTTTTCTGCTGATTCTACTACAATAAGGAAAGCAGTTTATTCCATTTCCTTGAAATCAAATGCCAGTTTCCTTCACTATTTCAGCCTTTGCCAGTACTAGTTTGACATTTTGTTTTACTAGTTATCAGTTTCTTCTACTCGAACATGTGGGGTTGTTTTGATCTTCCAAGTCTTTGCACACACTTTCTTTGTAGCTAACGAGTGACATTTTGCTTCCATTGTTCTGGTTAAGTTAGTGTCCACCTTTTTATGTTTATAGATATTAGTATAAATCTTTTTACTTGCATCACAGCCACTCGTAAGAATCTGAATTCAGTTCAATCTCATTATCTTTGGGCAATTAATACTTTATTTCATTAAAAGGGGACCGAAAACTAGGAAAAATCTTTCCAATTCACAACAGGACATCTTTACGGAGCCCCTTAGCCTAAGGGGACATGAAAAAACAAAACGTATCTTTGCACACGAGAAACTATCATGAGCACGAGATATATATATATTTGTTGTCCATGTCCCCTTAGGAGCTCCGTACATCAACAGTCAAAAACTCAAACATGTTCAACTCAGAGCTGAAGCTCCTGTGGTTCCAGCTCTCTGTGTGAACGTATTCTAATGTGTTGTTCTTCTTCTGTGGTGGTACATTTGCAGATTTAGTGGTTTTTGGACGTTAGTCAGACAAAACTCGACATTTGAAGACATGAGCATGGTCAATGCTTTTCTAACATTACACAGACCTAGTATTCACTGAGATATAAAGCAGAAAAAAAGCATCAAATTATTTTCTCCTGAGATACTAGGACATTTCTAACTCGTGGGGCCCTTGTTTGTTTTCACCGCTCTTTTTTTTTAAATGCTGGAATCGTCTGTCTTTTCCTCCAGGTGAAGATGCTGCAGGCTCTGGGGCTGAAGTCCACCCTCATCACCGACGGCTCGTCTCCCATCAACCTCTTCACCACCGCCAACGGCCTGCTGGGGGCGCTGCCGGGACAGGGCCAGTGAGGAGGAAGAGGAAGAGGAGGAGGAGGAGGAAGAGGAAGAGGAGGGGGAAGAAGGGAGGGGGAAGAAGGGAGGGGGAAGAAGGGAGGGGGAAGAAGGGAGGGGGGACAGATAGTCCAAAAGTAAACCTCAACAGATGCTCATCTTTCTGACACTTTTTCTGCCGACTTAGCAATATAATGTGCCTTTTTGATTTAAAGATGCACTTCCTGGGTTTGATAAAGCTTCCCCAAATCTCCTCTAAAGCGGCCCCTTACTGTAAGTGTCCTCTGTTACACAATAAGGTAGTGCATCTTTCAACTCTACCGTTTCCATGCAGAGATTTGCGCAAACTCTGGAGTTTCCCCCAGGGGATCATAATGAATGACCATAAAATGACCAGAATTTAAGTAAAAATTCCACCGCAAACAACCTACAGTATTCAGACACATCTCCACATAATTCATCACAACTTAATTCTTTCCAAAAAACGTTTCAATATTACATAATAATAATTGGATGATAATAAATGGAGATATTGATGATATTGTGCATCAAGCAAGAACAGAAATAACCCAAAATGATCTGTCAAGCACTACGTTATTTACATTATATAATATTATGTGTATCACTATAATGATAGCAATACTTCATCTTTAAAATATCACAGTTATTCTCCAGAGCGACACATGGTATCCTCTCTTTTTCAAGCAGTCATTTCATCATCGTCCATTAGACTGTAGGAACCCAAAGATCCCTCCTGCCATGACTCTACATCCTAACTGATAACGTTTTATTTCTACGTTTTTATAAGCGTGTTTCTGCTGACATTTAAGATGTTCCTGTGCTGTGATCTATCTAAGTATCCCACCACACGACTTTTGCCTTTTCGAAGCTTTGTTAAAATAAAATGTGAGGATTACTTTGGGAAAGCTGTGCTGCGAATGAAGAAGAAATGTGCCTACAAACAACTGACAGCCAATATTCCTGCTTTGCACCTTTTAGAAAAATAAGTGAAATGCTGAAGTTTACATAGTCCATATAATGAACTGATGAAGAGTAACCGGGTATGAAATAAGAATAGGATAGTGTCACTGTCTATGTTTCTCTGCCTTAAAAAGTGATGTAGTTTCTACAATAAAATGCTGCTTCTGCCACTTCTGCTTCGTCTCTGCTCTTCATTTACATCAAACCCTGACCAAAGCTCTTAGACACTTACTGTTTCTGTGAGATTCAAGACATTTAAATCTGACTTCCTTGGAACATAGATAGTGTGCTCAATATGGAGCAAGTGGAAACAATATGGGTGAGATATGAATACAAATGAACAATAATGATCGGCACGCTGCATTGTATCCTTTACATGTACATGTGTGTGTTCAGAATGTACAGTGTGTGTTCTGTATGTAGGTGTGTATATTATGTACACAGATAAGAAAAGATAACTGTAAAGATAACATTTAAAAAATGACAGTTCAAAATTCAAATTCAAATATGTGAGAACATGAAGCAAACAAGAAAGTGTGTGTTGTGTATGTATGTGGGTATATTTGTTCAAAGATTACTTAACAAAATCGAGAAACTGCAGTACAATCTTTAAATCTTAACTCAATGTATATTTTGTGTGTACAGTGTTTGTTCTCAATGTAAAGTGTATGTTCTGACTGTACACTGTGTGTCTTGTATATATGTTATATGTTTTGTATATATAAATTGCGGGGTATTTTAGCCGGAGGCAAGAGGTGGGGGAAGACCTTAATGTTAAGCATGCCTCTGTGTGAACAGGATGAAGTCCAGACAGCTGATTGATTTTAGGTTTTAACAGGATATTTGGACACAACAGCAAGAATGGGGTGCCAAGATGGTCCTCAGTAAAATAAATAAAAATCATATTTGGAGATGTTCCAATCTAAATTAATCTGTGGTGCAAAGTAACTAAGTACATTAACTCAAGTGTACTTAACCCTTTCATGCATAGAGGTCACTAAAGTGGACAGATATTCAAATGACGTTTTCTTGTATATGCATGGGTTTTTATGGCATAGTTGCACATTAGCCACTACAGTGGACGCTAAGGCATCATCCAATACACTGCTACTCAGTGGCAAGTCGTTGTAAGTGCAGGATACATTTCTCCAAACCAAGATGGTCGACAGACAGCCAGATGGACCCAGTCACTCATCAACATCTTGCCAATCCTTCTATAGAAAGCGACCCTTGGAGGTATACAAATGTTGGTGACATCAAGTAACAACTAAGGAATTATATAATGCATAAATTGTCAAAGTAGTGTACATCCTGCGTCACCGGCTATATTTGAACTACAATTCATACTGTTACTGCTACCGTTGTTCTTGAAATTAATTCATCTGAAGTAACTTTTTGGGAAGCCGAGAAGGGGGACTCGGGCGGACGGTCCGGGGGCAAGGTAGAGGCCAACAAGGGGGACTCGTGCGGACGGCCCGGGGGAACAGCAACAGAGCAGGGAAGTCCGCGGCGGGGAAACTCAGGGGGCCGAAGACAGGGGTGAAGGCCTCGTCGGGGTAAATTAGGGGGCCGGACTTGAGGGAGAAGGCAGCGGCTGGGAAAGTCAGGGGGCCGGGCTCAAGGGCGAAGGCCGCGGCTGGGGAACTCGGGGGGCCGGGCTCGAGGGCGAAGGCCGCGGCTGGGGAACTCGGGAGGCCGGGCTCGAGGGCGAAGGCCGCGGCTGGGGAACTCGGGGGGCCGGGCACAAGGACGGGCAAGAAGGCGGCGACGGAACAGCTCCAGAGGACGGGCAGGAAGGCAGTGCCGGGACAGCTCTGGAGGACGGGCAGGGAGACGGCGTAGGCCTTGATGGGGCCCCTCCGGGGTCAGCTGGATCGCCGGAGCAGGAGCACAGGGATCGGGAGCACTGGGAGCTGGAGATGGCGGAACCCCCGGTGGAACAGGAACCGGTGTCGGCCGGACAGGAAACGGAGCCGTCGGGACAGGTGCAGACGGAACCCCCGACGGGACAGGCACAGACGGGACCCTGGACAGAACATGGGCTGGTGTCAGTGGGACCCCGGACGGAGCAAGGGCTGGTGTCGACTGGACCCCAGACATCAGCGGGTCCTCCAACAGAACTGGACAAGGTGTAGGCAGGACCCCCGGTGGGTCAGGATCTGGTGGCAGCTGGACCTCTGACTGAACAGGATTCGGAGCTGGCTGGACCTCCGACGGAACAAGTGTCGGCGGGACCCCCGGCGGGACAGGTGTCGGCGGGCCCCCCAACAGGTCAGGAGACGGAGTTGGCAGGTCTCCCGGCGAGACCCCCAACGGAACAGAACATGGGACTGGCAGGACCCCCGGCAGAAAAGTAGTCGGCGGGACCCCCAACGGGACAGGACATGGAGTTGGCAGGACCCTCAGCGGAACCCCCAACGAAACAGGACATGGAGTCGGCAGGACCCCCGACGAAACAGAAACAGGCGTCGGCCGGACCCCCAACGGAACAGGACATGGGGTTGGCAGGACCGCCGGCAGAACAGTAGTCGGCGGGACCCCCAACGAGACAGGACATGGGGTTGGGACTTGAGAAGGGACTAGAGAAGGGAAATGAGAAGGGATTTGAGAAGGGACTTGGAAAGGGACTTGAGTAAGGACTAGAGAAGGGACTTGAGAAGGGACTTGAGAAGAGACTAGAGAAGAGAGTAGGGACTTGAGTAGGGACTTGAGTAGGGACTGGAGAAGGGACTTGAGAAGGGACTAGAGAAGGGACTAGAGGAGGGACTAGAGGAGGGACTTGAGAAGGGACTAGAGAAGGGACTTGAGAAGGGAATTGAGTAGGGACTTGAGTAGGGACTAGAGAAGGGACTTGAGTAGAGACTGGATAAGGGACTTGAGATGGGACTAGAGAGGGGACTTGAGAAGGGACTTGAGAAGGGACTAGAAAAGGGACTTGGGAAGGGACTGGAGAAGGGACTATAGAAGGGACTAGAGATGGGACTAGAGGAGGGACTTGAGAAGGGACTAGAGAAGGGACTGGAGAAGGGACTTGAGAAGGGAATTGAGTAGGGACTTGAGTAGGGACTAGAGGAGGGACCATGGCTGCTGGGGCCGGAACCAGGGCTTCTGGGGCTGGGACCATGGCTGCTGAGGCCGAGACCATGGCTGCTGGGGCCGGAACCAGGGCCTGAACCATGGCTGCTGGGGCCGGGACCATTGCTGCTGGGGCCGGTACTGGAGCCGGAACCATGGCTTCTGGGGCTGGGACCATGGCTGTTGGGGCACGGGCTGGAATCCTGGCCTTGCGTTTCCTTCCATGCTGCCTTGAAGCCTTGTGGAGGCTCAGAGGTCCTCCAAAGGCCAGACGAGACCCAGCGAAAGGGTCCTTGAAAGGAGCCTTGTTGGGAACTGTGGCCGGCAGGGGGCTAGCATGCCAGGGGCTAGCAGGCCGGGAAACAGGTTTGACCTCAAAGCTACCGAAAAAGTCCTCCATCCACTCGGGTAATAACTCCCTTAATCAGGGCCTTGAGGTTACTTCTAGGCGTGCCGTAGAGATAATAGACTGCCTCTCTTCTCTACTGTCTGGAGGCATATCGACAGTAATTTTTTAGGCACATTAAATTGTACGTCACCTCGTACAGGCTGTCTGCTGGGTCCATTTTTGGTGAGATCCTTCTGTCAGGGTTGAGCGAAGCAGGCAGGACCCAAATGCAGGTTTAAAGGTCCCATGTCATGCTTTTCCGGTTATTACCCGTCCCCTTGTGTGTTATGAAGGTTTTTATGCATGTAAACGGTCTGCAGAGTCAAAACCCCTCAAAATACACCCTGTAGCGCAGGGGTGGGCAATTATTTTTTCCATGGGGCCACATGAGAAACTGAAAATATTGTGGAGGGCCGGGCCAAAAGGCTGAACTCAATTCTGCATAATATTAATTGTATTTCTTTATAAAAAGCAGTAAATAGCATTGTTTTTGACAAGCTGGTAAGAGTATATGTTATAGTTAAGCAATGAAAAAGTGAGGTTGCCTTACAAAAAAATGTCATTTATTAAATCAAATTTCCCAAAACAATGGTAAACAAAATGAACGTTTTTCACCATTTGTGACTCATATTAGTGAACATTTTCAGTCACATTCACTCAAACACATTTTGAGTTTCATTTACTGTTGGAAAGAGGTTCTTAGCATTCTAAAGACATCACAATATTGTCTTTGTACTCCAAATATTAAGCAAGATACATCATATTGAACTGTCACTAAACATCACTGAACTGTGATTTTGAGAAAAAGGCTTCCAAAGAAAGTGTCCCAGTTCACTGCTAGTTGGTGCCTTTACATGACAACATTTGTAGTCTAACCACCTCATTTGGTGTTTTTAAGTTCTCTTTTCTTGTTCAGTGAGAGAAATCTAGTCTCTGCTGGGCTTTAACGAGTGCATCAAAGTCAGGTTGAATGTCTGAGGTGGAGATGCGAAGCACAGCTGACAGATGATCATCAGTGAGAGAGGATCTATACCTGGATTTCGTAAACTTCATAATTGAAAATGTTTGTTCACATATGTATGCGTGTCCATGCACTCGTTTACCTCCGTGAACAGATCGCTCCCTGTCGTCGTCCCTTTCATCGACCGCATTGCTGCCAGCTCCTCCGTAATCTTGAAGTCCGGTGTTATCCCGCGGACGAATACGAGTAACTGGGCTGTGTCGCGGACATCACAGCTCTCGTCCAAAGCCAAGGAGAAAAAGTCGTAACTTGCCACTTCACGTTGCAGCTGAAGCTCCAGATTCCCCGCAATGTCCTCGATCCTTCTAGTCACGGTTCGCCTGGACAGCGGGACTTGCTCAAATGCGGCTTTTTTTTCAGGGCATATTAGTGCTGCAGAGTCCACCAAGCACTCTTTGACAAACTCCCCCTCCGAGAACGGCTTACTGTTTTTAGCAATTTTGTGGGATATCACAAAGCTGGTCATGGTTGCTGCATCACTGGATGTGTGAAGCTTGGTAAAAAAGCCTTGCTGCTTTTGCAGCTTAGCTAGCAAAGCTTCCGATGTCCGCGCCCTTTCAGCGTCAGTCAAGTTTTTATATTTCTCCGCGTGTTTCGTCTCGTAATGTCGACTCACATTGTACTCCTTAAACACGGCGATCTGCTCCCCGCAAACTAAACACACGGTTTTACCTCCGACTTCAGTAAATAAA